TCCCTGTCTCTCCTTCCCTTTCTTGATTGTGCAGTGATTGATCGCCGCAGTCGAGGGGTTCTCCGAAATTAGGTTTCGTGGGGCGGTGGAAAAAGATGTGTGGCAGCGGTCCCAGTTGCCGTAGCCGTCGCGGACTAGATGAAAGTGGAGAGATCCCTCAACGTCGAAGGTGTGGTCTCACAAACCGTAGGTCGTCAGTTGGGCATGGCTTCTGCTTTGATTGGGGTTCGAGAGGATGGGTGGTTGGCAAGAGAACTTAGGTTTAACTCTCCAGCCCTCCGGCTGGCAGCCATGCGGGGTCACGTGCAGTGGTGAGGGCTGGGTCTCGACCGTCCATGACCACCAAGTACTACCCCCTGTTCCAGCACTGAGCAAATATACTATGCTTACTTCTATCGATATTGTATCAAGGTAGTTTCCCCAGTAGTCAGGCTTGTCCATAAAGAATCACCGAGCGGGACGTCGTGTAAAAGAAAAGTCTCACTATATACACACCGCGTCAATATACATACAAGTGTATCCCTCAAAATAAGTCCCTAATGGCTCGTGATAGTTCACCATCATCTCCCAGAATCCCTGAAAGGCCTTCCCCCGTGTTTGGAATTTCTCCATCGGGACCTACAAACCCGCTCATCCCGTCCTGCGCTGTGCTAGATGCAATGAAGTTGCCAAATCCTCCAACAGCCTCGAACAGGGTTGTCAGCTCATGGCTCATCTGAAGCCCATTTAATGGGCTGCTTCCGAGTTCATTCACCCCATTCATAGGCCCATACACCGACAGATCTTCAATTGGATGGCCAGCCAAACCCGCCATGGCGACGGCCGCCGTAGAATGAGGGTCATTGGAATCTGATCCAAAGGGGCGCACGAGCACGCCCAGCCTTTCACCTATCCTTCGAAGGCCTTTGATGGCCTTCCATAACCGTTTCGATACGTAAGATTTCGTGCTAAAGCCGTTGACTAGGTCGAGAGCCATGTAGAACTCGTCTCGGACTTGCCGGTTGAACTCCGTCGGAGCATGGCAAACGGCGAGGAAAAGGACAGCCAGAGCGGCAACAAGGAAATAGTTGAATGTAATTTGCTGAGTGCGGTAAATGTCGGAAGTTTGGTTCAGCCGTGTAAGCACTCGAACCGTATCCTTAGCAACATCCACCACAGTCTGGGCATGACCCTTATCTTCGGATATGCTAGCTGCTGAGTGAAGGACCGGTCGGTAGATAAGAATGCGAAGCTGGTTCATGCGCAAATATAACAGCACTCGCAGTCGTCGAAGACCCCGGTTCACTGACTCTCCATGCTTTGGTGACTGTACCGGATAGAACTTCAAAGCATCAGGAATGTGCTTGTACCACTGGAGAATTTGATAGTCCAAATAGCCGATTTCATCTCGACGTATGTCCATTGTTCCGTCTGAGCCAAGCCCAGCGTACCAAATTTTTGAGCTAATGCGGTTATAGGAAATCATACACCTTAGGTACGGCAGCGATGCATCCTATAATATCTATTAGAAACAGGTTACCTTGGCGGGGTGGTTGTAAGCATATCCTACCGGCTCTGGTAAGTTCGGATCAATATCTTCATCTTGAATAACAAACGGTAGTCCAGTTCCAAGGCTCCAGCGCCTATCCAAGCTATAGGTTGCCCAGAAGATCTTGATAATCTCTGGCCATTGATCTTCGTTAGGAAATGACTTTGCTAACGCATCTCGTCGATGCAAGCCTAGTTCAAGACACATGCGAGCAGCCAACCCGATGAGACGGTAGGCCATAGCATCATCGTCCGTGTGGAAATGGTAGGTCGCCTAATCATGAGATGTTAAATACCAGAAGTTTGCGCGATGAACCAGGATAACATACCACGATGCCGAAAAGCTGGACGGTTCTGATGTCTAATGGCTCCCAAATCTTGGACTCAATAACCGGTTTCACACTCAGGTAAAGACGTTGACCAAGCTCGCTCTGGCCACCTCCCTCGACGACCAGCGTTGTAGCAAGGATCATCTTTATAAGGTTCGTGTTGTCGTCTTGGAGACCATCTGAGCCGGGCAGCGCTCGCTGGGCAAATCCCGTGCGTGTTGCAGCCTCCATAAAGGTGTAGAGTAGGTTGATTTGTTGTGTCACCTTCTCAATTTCGAAGAGTGGATACATGATCCCAATCTCTTCTTCGTAGATTTGACATAGTCGTATAGCATCCTCACGTTTAATGGCCCATATTGGATCTTTAGTCGGATGGATAGGAGGCGCGAATGGTGCAACCTGGGGAGGTGAGCCAGCAGGTGTCGCATGGGCCGTAGTTAGATCGTCGGTTATCACTTCTTCTGTCGGAGCGATGCCCATGTTTTGAAGGCTCGATTTTGCGACATTGAAATTGAATGTCGAGCTCGTGGGGCCGTGGAATCGGGGATGCCTTATGCGTGGTTTGGCCAGCCCAGCATGCATAGAAGTAAACACAGGTTGCGAACCATCTCGGGAGAAATTATCAAAGTTCGGCGAATCGATGGAAGATCCCTGCGAACGCAGCTCATTTAGACTACTGAAAAGGCTATTGACCTGGTCTTGCAGAGTCGTAATCTGATCTTTCATCGAGCGGAACTCACTAGTCACAGTGGATATAGATTAGCAGGAGTAAGCGCAGAAACGAGGGTATTTCGGTCAACATACTCCGAATCCTTAAAGTTATTGTTGCAGCAATTAGGGGCATATCGACCTATCAAGACTTGATTAACCGCATGACACATGCGCGCGTACCGCTGCCCCTTGGGATGAAGGAGGTGCGGGTGTTTTTCCGTCTACTCACATTCGAGATTGAGGTGTCCACAGCGTTGACACGGTACCTGACCGTTACACTTAATCTTGCGACGCTTGCATTCATTGCTGGAAGTACAGTACCAAGACCAGTCAGCTCCACTGTCGCATGATATCACGAGACAAACAGATATGGCATGTTTTGCAGAGGGAGGGGTTAAAATTGGACGATCCATGTCCGGGATCATACCAGGCGATAGATATATAACGATTCCGCTTCGTGCGCGTCTGAGTTCCGTTGGTCTGTTCCGCTTTCCGCTTCGCACTATCACCCTCCACGGGGGTATTCTGATCGCCTGATGCCAGATGCGCCGTCGTTGTATCCACCGGAGTGGTCTCTGAAGCCATCTTGACGCTCTTTTCAGGTGCGATGAACCGGTAGGGGAATGAGCGACGGCAGTAACCGGTGCGGAGAGATTCCCTTCGACATTCATTCAATTGGGTGCGCGGGGTTTCCGTTCCCCAGACCAGACCAGACCTGAATAGGCAAGGATCGGCGGGTCTCTGACCATTCCCGTGAGCTTCACTGGTAAGTTGCGAGAATCAATGGTCATAGTTATTAAATAGTGGATGCTATAAAATGCTACTAGCCGAAGTCCTCGAACTTGGTAGTCATTGCTTGCCTGATTAGTGGCCAATATTTCCTCTATGGTAAAATGAGTCCCCGCCACTGAATCATTATGAGCTGTCAGGACTAGGACTGGGAAAGCTTCTACATAGTAAGTTTCGGTCAATAACCATTGGTTTGTCCTGTGCTTCACAGATTCAGGACGTACTTTGAATGAATCCGCATTTGAGTCCCTTCTTCTTTGGTGGGCTCCAAATATTTTGTAGCAAACTAATTAGCCATTTCTTGTCTTGAATGTACGCCATATGTACTCAACTTCGGAATCCGGAAGAGAAAATTCCCCGATCGGCTGTCACCCGAGTTTAGCTAGGATCTTCGGGACAGAGATCTTGAAACATTTCACCAGGGCTAAACTTATAAACAACGCTCATCTTCTGAATGAAGGTCCAGCGATGGCTTTTCAACGGTAACCCAGGAGCTTGGTACCGCCTTTCACTCGCCGTTACGCGATTCAATCATCCAAACAGGCCACATGCTCAGTTCAGCACCCAAAACTCTCCCTCCGTCGCAACTTCTTGCGGGTATCATCCTTTGAAAATCCTCGACGATGCGAGCATAGAAAACTTCCGCAAGGAGCACTTCATCGCCGAGCTTCCTGTTATCCTCCCGCGCCGCCATTTTCGCGATCTACCTGCCTTTGGACGCTGGTTCCAGTCTTCTCCATCCGAGCCCAATGTATCCCGATTGAATACCACATACCTCGAGCAGCATGGCGCAGACGCTATTGTCCCACTAGAACTTACACAGCCGTCGACAGAACCGGACAAGGATGGTGTCAGTTTTAGACAATTCCATGCACCTCTCAGTCTTTTTCTGGAATGGATGCGCACGGCGGAGGAACAATCGCAGTCAGTTCGACTGTATCTAGCACAATGCCAGCTATCCGATTTGCCACAGACGCTTCGTAACGACTTTGCAACCCCTGAACTTGTGTCCCAGGCGGGCAACGGCGATGTGTACGACACCAATGTGTGGATCGGCTATCCCCCTACATACACCCCCCTTCATCGTGACCCCAACCCGAATTTATTCGTTCAACTCGCTGGACGAAAAATTGTGCGGTTAATTGCTCCCGATGATGGACAGGCGCTGTTCGCGTCAGTAAGAAGGCAATTAGGGAGGAGCGGGAATCGCGAAGCTGCTGTGTTTCGAGGGTCAGAAATGATGCAGGGACGAGAGAGGACATTGCTAGAGAAAGAGGTTTGGGACGATGGTTTGAACACGGCCAGTTCGGCACGCAAGTATGTTGGATACGAAGCGCAGCTGGAGGCTGGTGATGGGATGTTCATTCCGAAAGGATGGTGGCATAGCATTAAGGGGGTAGGACATGGTGTCACTGCTTCGGTAAGTTCCCTTCTTTATCTGTATGTACGTCCTCTGACGCATCACAGGTCAATTGGTGGTTTAGGTAAATCCAGAGTAACTAGTTTCTATATAATACAATCAATTTTACCAAGTAGAGGATTCCTACACATATAAAAAGGTAGAAAATTTACAAATTGAAGTATATCCCAAAACACCAACAGGCAAGTTCGAATGATCGTTCTAGAATCCTCCGTCCGTCCCACCGAACTCCCGCACCACCAAATCCACCACCAGCACCCAATCTATTTATCCACCAAACCCACCTCCAGCAATAGAAAACCCGGCCCAGATAGAAGACATGCACAAATCCATTTTAACGCGCACAACACTTCTACATCTCATCTTAAACCCATTCCTGACAATCCCGACGCGCGCTTCAACCACAATCGCACCTCCGACAATCCTCTCCCAAAGACTATTCCGTACCCCGATTGCCTACCCCCAGTGTCCCTCCAATCTCTATCAAGAAAAATCCTACTCCACAATGTCATCGTCCACCGACCAGATCCAACAACAACAATCCGACAATGCCGCTACTGACTCCGCCGCCGAAAAGAAACCAGAGCAGTACCTCGCCCTTCCCGACTCCAGCAGCGCCGACCAGACACAGCAGCTGGATCTCAGCGGCGATGGGTCGACGGTGAAATTGGATCACTTGGGTCCGTTGGTGGTCAACCAGGATGGGACGTTATCACGGATCTCGAACTGGGCGCAGATGGCGGAGATTGAGAAGAAGAATACGTTGCGGGTGCTAGGGAAGAGAAACAAACAACGGATGGAGGCACTGAAGGCTGCTCAGGGAGCGCAGGAAGAGGGTAAATAGGCGCAGGAAACGGTGGAAAGGTCGCGAGTTTCTACCGTGTAGGAGTTACGGACTTATGCTTTGGGTACCAGGGAGACATTTTTCTCTTTCATAGACTGATTGCTTATGTATAATAATCCAGCCCATTTTAGGCTTCACATACAGTTACAGGTTAATGAACTCTACGACGAGAGCTGCTCAGATATATCGATGTTACACCATTCAATTCATAACGCCGTACAGCTGAAGTTCCTGGACAACAGGCCACCCAACAACAGAAGTGCATGTACACAGCCTTAGCCGAAAATCCAATCGGCAAACCTCGAGAATATATTGCTATGAGGATGCTTAGCCATGCAAAGAATAACAGTGGGGTGGGAAATACTTGAGAAAGAATAGATAGCACATACCTCGAAGGCAACGACACATGGTTTCTTTCATACTCGTCAATTTCATCGAGTCCGGTCTTCAGATCAATTTCTTCAGGCTTTCGAATATGTGATTTATGCCAAAACTTCCACCCAAAGAAAATTATTGGGAATACTCCAATCATTGTGTATGAGAAGAAAAAAGTGGGAATATCCCATTTTCCAGGTAGAAAGACTTCGTACCCCCCTACAAACGCCATGACTATCGTACAGACCATGGCTATATAGGCAATGTAAGGCTGACCCAGACTCTGATACGGGAGAGAACTGCGGGGAATGTTTTGCGCGATAAGCGCCTTTCTGAAGCGAGTATAGGAGAAGGTAACGACCGAGAAATTAATCAACTGCGATGCAGTAACCTGGCGCACGATTTAGCCGCTGGCTTGGAGATGGCTTATGAGGTGACCTACCAGGTTGATAAACCAATTAAGCACAACTGATGCGCTGTTGGAGACTTGCAGGAAGGCAAGCAGCGCAATCAGCAGGACAAGTCCCACACAGTAGATGGGAACTCCATTCTTCGTGCATTTCCTGAAAATTCTCGGCGCTTTGTTGTCCAGCGCAAGTCCATACAGGCATCTGCTGGCGCAATAGACATAGCTGTTTCCTGCACTGAAGGCAGCTCCAAGGACCATGGCATTGACAATATGTGGTAGAACCGGAATACCCAGTCTGTCCATCGCAATGACATATGGTGATGCAGCCGCGCCCGGTAGGTCCTTTTCGAATGCATTGGCCATGGTCGGGTCATTATAAGGGACCAAAATACCCACGCAGAGCGCTCCTAGAACGAAGAATGATGTGAGTCGGTAGAAGACTCCATTGAATGCTTTCGGCAGGACCTTTCGTGGATTCTCCGTTTCTCCAGCGGCCATTGACACATAGTCGGGACCCGCAATGGTGAAACTCGCCTTGATCAAGCAAGCGAGAAATCCTAACCATCGCCCAAGGTCTCCTGTTTTGTAATACTCTGCAAAGGAACCAGGCTCTTGCCAATAGCGGAACCCAAATCGGTCCCTTTGGGGATTGCCACCCAACATCGCAATAAATGTGAAAATGATCAGACCTATACTGAGTAAGACTTTTCCCAGAGCAAGCCAGAACTCGGCTTCACCGTAGTAATTTACGGCGAAGACATTCAGGAATCTAGTCTCATGAGTTAGAATCGAAGCTCCACGGGGCTGCCCATAATCGCACGAGGAATAACGCACGCATAGAGCACAAGCACAATGACTATGATTGCAACTGTTGGGACCACATCACTCCAGTAGTGGATGATCATACTACATGCAGTGATTTCGAATGGCACCTGCACAGCTTCGAAGACGAAGAAATTCCAGCCGGCTGCTACCCCAAAGGCTTCGTCGACATAGCGGCCAGCAAAATGGATGAAAGGAGAGGAGACGGGGAGGTATACGACCATCTCAGCCAGACCTAGGAGTTCCTGTTGTTCAGTAAATGCTACATAACGGAGGGCATGGGAGGGAGATCGCATTAGGGTAGACCAGCATGGCCGCAATGGGAAAATGGAACCGTGAAAGCTGGTAGGTTCTATGAACATGGACACACGGGAGAAATTTGGCGCTTATGGAAACCTATTGCCATCCACCGAGGGGACTGCATTGGGAGGGAAATGCTGCTGGCGGCAATATCGAAGAAAGGCAAGGAGTTCGGAGCTTTGAGGGGTGGGAGTTCGTACAAACAGTTATGGCTAAAATGACGGAGCACCTAAGAAAAGAGATGTATAAGACTCCACGGCCCCAGATATAGAAGTAGCAAATGGGACTTGGGTGGGAAAGAATGTGGGGTCTGGGCTCTGTTTGTCTCTTCAAAAACCAAGGCGCATGTCATGGTGGATTGAGGATCTGTGGAGTGGTGTTTTATGCTTTTGCTTTATATTCATTGGCGCCGCAAATCTTTTTTCTTTTTTTCCCTTTGCAAACTGGAATATCAAACAAGAAGTAATATTCGTTTCTTCGCGGCCCATATAGACTCACCAATATTGAAGGTTCTTTGAGACACAGTAACCCCAATCAAATGCAAGCCATGGCGACAGGTAAAAGAGTACATCAACAGGGTTATGAGAACTGACCAGATTGTGAATGCCAGAAATAAACTGGCGGGACCACCGTTGAGCAGACTTTGGCCAATCTGGACGTAAAGCGCTGTACCAATGGTGCCTCCGATACCAATCAACTGGATATGCCGTGATTTGAGAAATCGGTGCGTGCCGTCTTTGGCAAGTATGTTGGATCCAGCATCGAGTGACTCGTCACTGTGGCTCATCGCGGGGTTCTTTTCAGGGATATCCATTGAAGCGCCCATCCGTCTCGTCAGCTTGTCCACCGACATCGTGGAAGGTCCTCCATGGTAGAGGGAAGTTGTAACAGGCCCCTGGGCACGCTCAGGGTCTGAATTGGAGTTGACCATAGCCAATTACTACTGGCCTTTGGGGTTGACAATGTTGATAGTTGCGGCGTTCAAGAGGGATCAGTTGCATGTAGGGAGAAATTAAGGGCAAAGAGGAAGACGCAGAATAATCTGCGGATAAAGGAGGTGTGAGAGAGAAATTTTGCAAACTAGCTGAGCCGGGCAAATGACCATAGTAGTATCACCGTGGTATCATGCCCGACTATGTGGGAACAAGAAAGAAAAAAAAAGAAGGGCCAAAAAACCAATAAGATCCGGACATGCAGTAGTTTACAATCGTAGTGACTATGAAACGAACTTATGAGCAAATCACCGTTCAGCGAAATTGTGGTAGAAGCTCACCTATGGGGGAGGATCCCCACAAGAGCGGACATCCGAGGTTAATGGGGTTTCTAGGGAGCAAGCGCACAACGCTCGTTCTGATCTAAGTGGCTGAACCACCAGCCCCTTACGGCTGACCACTGCAATCCTGACCATGATTTCGAGTAACACACCGATGACAAGGAATCCATACAGGGAATCCTTTCCCAGTGTCCCATGGAGGAAGAGAGACAGTCAAGCATCCAAGAATCATATCGGAGTATACCGAAGTGGAAATTATGTCCCACCGTGACGGGCTAACTTAAACCGCATTTGGGTATGTTGGAATCTAATGCAACCCGCGTGGGGCACATTGTTGGAGGGGTACATCTCAGCGTGTCACTTACGGCTTGTCAGTCAACCGACGGAGTAGTCCGTACGTTGATTTGGTGGGGGGACTATAGCTAGTCTCACTCACACAAGTTGTCCAGAGAAGAACCTTCATCATGGCTTTGGAAGGATGTCCAATAGATCAAAGAATTGAATAGTCTGCGATCTAACATGCAGTAACCTCAGAACCGAGGCTCCACTTGGTTTGCATTCACTCCGGAGTATAGATTCTTCCGGCACCGTCTTAATCATAGATTCACATGCTAGGTAGTTGACGTACTCTTTCTTTAACTACAGTTGACATGGTAGGTGTATTATAGTAGATATCATATAAAGTACAGGGTATATTGTTTTCTATCGAGATTGAGGCTGGATTGCCTTGCCAAGAAAAGAATGAAGGGGAAAAAAGTACTCATAGTCATATAGGGCTACCAGGGTCCATGTAGTAATATAAGGAGGTTTGGACATCAAATCCCATACACTACCGGTAATACTGTATGTAGTACGAAATAACTTTTAACAATAATAGTTACCGGCTAATTATTTGAATGTTCTTGGGTTGAACTCTAGAGTAGTATAAATGATTCTTCGGCAGGCTATGCTCAGCGTATTAGCTATTACATTTTAGCAAGATATTTCAAGCCTCGAACCTTGAAATAACGCCTGACTGGCCCTTATTCCTCTGGGGCTCGCGGTTGTTCCGCATCCATTAGCGATTGCCTTGGTGCTCGTCTTTCGCCCTGCCTCGGCGGTTTCTGACCCAACTCGGTTGGCGGGAAAAAGCAATCGTTATCTTCAAAATAAAGATAATGCGACATATCAAGCTCGGCAGTGCTCGCTCCACGGGATCTCCTGATGTTTTCAGGGGGATTTTGGCTTTCCGGGACCGAGCTTAGAGTGTGCGGGCTCCCTTGGGGCTCTTGCAGCTTAGAAGACATTCTCGATATTCCCTGTAGAGCGGTGTTGAGTAGATGATAGCTGAAGATGTTGCTGTTGAAAGATTTTAGATCAGGGACATGATCAGAGGAGTTAGCTTAAAGTCAGCATTTCTCCGCTTGGATACGGTTCTTCACTTTATATGCTTTGGGGAGTGGCGGTTGACGTCAGTTTGCCTGACCACGCGACATTTCCAGTGACATTTCCTTTTTTCCCCCTTTTTTTATTAAAAAAAAAGCATTGAACATGCATATCAATGAAGTAACCAATCTATTGCCGAACTCTATTTTGAACCTGATGGATAGCAGTAAGTAGTATAAAACCCATCTTGTCAGCCAATAACATTGGTCGTAATTTGGCAAGAAGGATTACGAACTATCATGAACATAATCCAAATTAAATCACGTCAAAAATGGTCAGACCCACGGTTGTGTCGGTGTTTTTGCATTTAATGAAATTTCCCCCCGCCTGACAGCCCCGCGTTTTGTGCCGGCCCGAACACTATTGACTTCGCGACACCGAAAAAACATATTAACGGCTTCTAATCCCTTTGCAACTTTGATTGAAAGATAGAATCTGTCTTCCAAATCAAATCGTGCCAATATGTCTGAACGTTTCACCCCCAAGGTTCCTGTTCAGCTCGATCCCCCCAAGGATGATCCGATTACTGTGGAGGAATTATCAAAGTGCGACGGTACGTGTTCACTCCAAACGATGCCGAGTTCCTCAAAATTCTATCTACACCCTCGCTGGGTTAATAAGCTGACCGAGAGCAATCACACCACTAGGTACCGATCCCAACCGCCCGACTTGGGTAGCCATCAAGGGTATCGTTTTCGATGTATCCAAAAACTCGGCTTATGGCCCGGAAGGTTCATATCGCGGTAGGTCATCTCCGTCCTCCAGCAGTCAGAAAATACTCTGACAAGCTGTTGCAGTCTTTGCCGGAAAAGATCCTTCCCGAGCTCTGGCCTGTTCCTCTCTGAAGCCAGAGGACTGTAGACCTGATTGGTACGATCTCGAAGATAAGGAAAAGACGGTTTTAGATGAATGGTTCACGTTCTTCAGCAAGAGATATAATATTGTTGGAAAGGTGAAAGATGCTACAAACTACTGATGTCAAAGGCAAGCGAGGAAGTCGCAAGCGGGCAGTGCGGAATCAGTTATCATTACACCTTGACATAGGTACTATACCCATGGGATTTGAGCTATTTTCATTTCAGATGTTGATGGAGCATCACAGATGCTTTCCGCTTCTTTCAAGGTAAACCATGTCTAAAACTGGAAACACGAGTAATTATAAATCAAATGCTGTGAACAAAATCAACCACATAACTTTTGAGCCCCCAACTACGCCTTTCCCTTGCGAGTCCTCCGTTGCATTCTTTTCTTTGCGATAATACGATTGCGTTTGGCAATCTTGTTCTGTTCTTCCGCATCTGCTCCATCCTGCCCTTGATCACTATTGCTCTCGGAGCGCTTTCGTTTATTGCCCTTCGGTGGTGTTTGGTTCTGGGAGTCGCCAATCTTAGCAGAGTCCCCGTTTTTCTGACTTCCTTTCTTGGAATTGCGCATCCTTTCTTGTTGCTCTTGACGGCGTTTGACAACATTCGCGTTTTCAAGAGCAAACTCAACAATGAGTCGTTTTTTCTTGTCCTTAGCATCTTCAGAGCCGGTTGCGGGGGCTTCGACAGCGTGGCAGTTAAGCCACCTGAGTGCCATCAACGCATGTCGGTGGGTAAAATACTCGACAAAACCATAACCTCGGCTTCTTCCGGCGCCACTGTTCTTCTCCTCGACCTTACTTCCATCTCGTCCTTCGAAAACGATCTTAGCCTGTCTCACAACCCCAAGGCCTTTCTTTTTTCTGAGCTGCTCAGCTTCCTTCATCTCTTCCGAAGCACGCTGTAGCTCATCCTTGGACAGGGGCTGGCGCAAGCCAGCCGAGACATCCTGGGCGAAACCAACAACGGCTTGTCGAGCGAGTTGCTTTAGATCCTTCGATGTAACATGGCGGGGGATGTTTCGAACGGACAGTCGTGTCAAACTAAGGTGGAGCGTTGGGTTCTTCTTGATAAAATTTTGTCGCTGTTTGAAGCTGTCCTCCCTCATCTTAATCTCAGACGGTGAGAGCTTCTTGTGCAGAGGGGAGTCCGAAGGGATAGTTCCTTCAGACAGAAGATACAGACGACGCTTGTCAGTATCACGAACAAGGCGCCGTGAAACACCTTCCTCTGCGAGTTGCGTAGCTCGCGATTTACTCACAGCACGGGAAACTTGCAGTACTCGGCCATCTAAGGTATAACGCCCAGTTGGATCGGCATTCTCATTCTGAAGGACGGAATGTTTGATTGCAATGGAACCCTTTTTGGCTTTTTCCTTCTCTGGGGCAATAGTATCTTGTTGTTTTGGAGCATCGCGCACACACGCCGCTGCATCCTCAGCCTTCCAGAAGCAAACAAAGCCTGTACCGCGAGGGCGTTCAGTTTCTGGGTCGACAACGATGCGTGCATAACGCAAGGGTCCGAACTGAGTAAAATGTTCGTAGAGCGTCTCATCTGTACAGGTAAATGGTAGATTCCGAATAAAGACGGTGGCGGCGGTTCTTTCATCCTCTTTCTCTTCCTCTTCCTCTTCCTCCTCTTCCTCCTCGTCTTCATCTTCGTCACTCTGATCGATGTCATCCATATCTTCGTCATCGGGGAGGTCGTCATCATCCTCAACATTAGATTCGGCCTCGGCGTCGTCTGCCATCTCAGCGTCGCTTGACTCTTCTTCCTCTGCATTACCCTGTTCTTGGCTATCTTGTTGTGTATTCTCCCAGACAGCCTTGTCCACGGCCCAATCAACAGCCAAAGTTCTCCCATCTACCTCCTTTCCATTGACAGCTTCCAGTGCCTTCTCGGCGTTCTTCTTTCCTCTCAGAACCACAAAGCCGAATCCCGCAAGTTTGTTTCCCTTCTTTGGGAGATTAACATGTTTAATTTTTCCGTAACTTCTGAAGTGGACCGCAAGGTCATCCGGTTCCTTGATGCTCCAAGGCAGGTTGCGAACAATCAGTTTGGGCGGCTGAGTGGTAGCCCTCTCTTGCTCTCTCTGTTTTTTAGCCTCAAGCGCAGCGGATGATGGTACACTCTTCCCGGCATTCTCATCGATTGTACGGTGACGGGGCTGGGCGTAGTCGACTTTAATCTTTTTGTCATCGAAAACGGATCCATTAAATTCTTCCAGAGCGGCTTTCGCGTCGTCAACATCAGCAAAAGTCACGAAACCATACCCCTTGGACTTCTTTGTCTCCGAATCATTGACGACCAAAGCGTGTTTGATAACGTAGGACTGCGAAAAATGTTCCGCTAACTTCTCGGTCGTCGCAGAGGCGGGCAGAGATCGAACGAACAAAGTTCTTCTAGGCTTGTTGGAGGCCGATTCTTCCTTGACTGTGTCATTTTTCGCAGTGTCCATGGCAGCTTCCACCTCCTCTGAGTTCCCTCTGCCTTCCGGGAGGTTTTTATGGCTAGTCTCGTCCCTTCCAGCCATTACTGCAATCTGAATTGCTCTTCTCTTTTTCTTTTTTGCTTTGCATCAAAATCAGCGGCAGAAAAATTCCCGGCGATGTTTTTGAAGATAAAAGTGGGTCTAGGCGGTGAAGAGAGCTCGGCTCGCGATTAGATAGTGATTGGGTCAACTGAGCCCTGGAGATATGCTAGTAGTAGTGCCGCTTTTGAAGTTCCGCCTTGATCACCGTCCAGACATCATGACCAATGGGTACAGCGAAAGTACCGGGGTTGACTCTCCTTCAAATGTAGAGGACAGTGCTACCCCCAGGTCCGAGGTCGCTGCATCTAGACAAACACCCACAGTACCTGTGCCGTCCAAAGTCCAGCAGCCAAAGCCGCAGGTCCTTGCAAGCAGAAGCACCCCTTCAGCTATCCTTGTGTCGACGAGACAAAAGGGCAACCCAATACTGAATCATATCAAGCTCCTGCCCTGGGAATATGCCGATATCCCCGCTGACTACGTGGTTGGGGCCACTACCTGTGCTCTCTTTCTGTCGTTGAAATATCACCGCTTACATCCTGAATACATCTATTCTCGCATCCGACTCCTCGCAGGGAAGTATCTGCTTCGTATTCTCTTGATTATGGTAGACATCCCAAACCATGAAGATAGTTTGAAGGAATTATCCAAGACCTCAATCATCAACAACCTCACTCTGACCCTTTGTTGGTCCGCTCCTGAAGCTGCGCACTACCTAGAATTATTCAAGTCCTCCGAAAACTCCCAGCCAACTGCAATCCGCACCCAGCAAGCACAGTCGTATAAGGAGTCACTTGTTGAGTTTGTTACGACTCCCAGAAGCATTAACAAGTCCGACGCGGCAAGTCTCATCTCCACATTTGGAAGTCTGCAAAATGCTATCAACGCGCAGCCAGAACAGATCAGCGCTGTACCCGGCTGGGGTGAGAAGAAAGTTCGACAATGGTGTAATGCGGTGAGAGAAGATTTCAGGGTGGAAGCATCGAGAAAACCAGTGGCGCCTGCAAACTTAGATAGTCAAAACAATGACGAGTCGACGAGTCGAAACAGCAGGGTGTCAATTTCAATGGATGCACATCATGAGGATGAAGAAGAATTCTTAGCAGCAGAAGCAGAAGCAGAAGGCGCGTATGTGGCGTCTCAGGGAGACCTCCCTGAACGTGCCCATCCGGACGAAGCTACTCAGGAGGAAAGAATGAGTGATGGTATAATGACAGCTTTGGCAAAACTTAGAGAAAGCGGCAGATAAATTTACTAGCTTCCAATACACAAAGTCAAACTTCTTACGCTGTATACACATCTAGATGAATACATTCGCGCCAAGTGAACCGATGCCGAGTATAATAAGCGGGCTAGATTCAAACGTGGTGGATACTGTGTTCGTGACCCATTGATAAGCGGAAGAGGTAAAGGGATGCCGGGTGGATGAGGCGCCACAAAACAAAGTAGCTTTTAAACTATGTTTTGTCCCTACTGCTGCGGTTGATAAGCTACACAATACTATCCACTATGTTGTCCTTTCTGTGGGACCTTTTCTTTATGGGGTTGACTGGAGAATGGTTATAGTCCAACTGAGCCTCTTCGTCTCCACGTTGTATTTTATCGTCAGCAGTCATTAAAATAGCTCACTAAACCAGTCACACCCCTTGAGTTCGAATACCAGACTTTGAAGTGGGTGAGAGCTGATTTCCCCATGGGGAGGGCTGCGGAACTGATTCCTTCGCCATGTGGAGCTTATTTCTTAGACTAAGGTCAAGCAATACGGCGCTGGATGGGGCATGATGATCCCTAGCTATCACGACTTCCAAGCATATAAATCGCGAAAAAAGGATTCTTTTTCTTGTATCAACATGGCACCCAACCTAGGGCTCTGATTCTCACGGGGATTGCAGAACCACAGACGCTGCTGAGTCAGACGCAAGGATGGATCACGTGTGGAGACGGTGGGGCAACGCACCGAAAGGGGAAATCGGGGAGACGGCCAACATTGGAAGTTTTGGTTCTAACACGACACTCTTGATATGCACCAGGAATCCGATGCCGCCTTAGTGATCTCAGTGTGGCATGAAGGTTTCTTACTTATCCGATTCACGAGCGGCGTTCCCCACCGGCAAGCTGTTCTCCACTCAACTGCTTCCAGCACACGGCTTGAGCTGTACCATCCAACTTTAGCCGGCCGAGCCTAGATCATGAGACGATGGGGGAGGACGGTGCTAAGGATGTTGGGCCCGGAATAAAGCCCGATGTCAACTTTCAAGATTCAAATGTTTCTAGTTCAGCGGGCCAATACGCACTTCAGCCTGCTAGTAATCAAGCGAGCAATGGGGCAGGGTCGTCCAAGAACAACCAATCCCCCAGGACGGGCCCGCAGGCCTCCCAGTCCAGAAACTTCGAGTTCGTGCTAGTTACGGATAATGAGTCTCGGCGTCAGGTACGCCGTCATGCTATGCGTCAATATATGCATCAGCGGCGCTTGGACAGCATTGCTCGCCTAGGAGCATCTCGTATACCTGTTGGTGGTTGGACCACCCGTTCTCCCTCCGACACTCATGTATCAGACACCTCTTCCCGCGTGGAAGAGGTGCAAGAGGAGACTTATGCAAATGTGAAGGCAGAATCTCCGACTAAGACCGAAGATCAAAATAACACCGAACATATTAGAAGACCCTCGCGGTTGCTGATACCAAAACTGCACAAGGTTAAACGTGAAGAGGAGACTTCTCCTCCGATTGCTGAACTCGCGACGTCTGACCCTCGCGCGTCTCCTGGGGAAGGAGGCAGGCGAGATCCCTTTAGCTGCTACCCGATCTCGGTTAGCCATGTGGATCATGAACTGATCCAGCACTGTAAGTCCCGACCCTCTCACACCCTGAGTTTGCCTATAGAATTGGTAGGAGTTGAGAGTGGTGTAAGCAGCGGATGTCCAGGCTTTCTTAGGGGTTCTATTCTATGATATGGTTGGGGGCTTACAATTTCAAGTTGTGGTGACTTATCCGTCCATGATGTATAAATTCGCCGAGTCCATTGCGAACAATCCATTGATGGAGATATTCCGACAATTCGCATTGCATGATGAACTTCCTTTTCAAGCTATGCTTGCCATTGCCTCCAAGCATCGTGCGGGTGTAGAAGGAAAGGCAGAATCTGTCCAGAGTCTCACCCACAAAATGCGAGCGCTGCGACTAATGAATGAGCGTATCCAAGCAGACTCGATGGGTCATCATGATGGGACTATCTACGCTGTTGCTACTATGGCAGTTATCGAGGTAGGTCGTATCCTTGCTTGTTTATTCAACAGCTGACACCATGGAGAAATGGTCGAAAGATGCCTCAATAGAACGGATGCACTTCAGGGGCTTATCGTCAATGATCAGAAATCGAGGAGGGATGCAAGGAATGCGAGCCTCGAGCCCTTTCCTGGAGAAAGTCTTATACTGGTAATCTTGACAGCAGCTTTGATCCTCTGTTTCTGTGCAGCCATCGACTAACTTCCGTGTAGGGTTGACTTCAGTTGCGCTCCAAAGGCGATATATGGTACTTCGCTGCCTTGGTCTGGAACATTACCGGACAGTCCTCCCACTGGACTTGATTTTGTCGACACCGACATTCATTTTGCTATCCCCCATCATTTCGCAACAGAAGAAGGTGCAGAAAGCCTCTGTGACCAACTCCGGGCATGTGAAGATTTCTTAAGATTTTTTCGCCGCCTTCATGAACTGGAATACACTGCACTTGAGTCACCTTCTATCATGGTATCTAGCAATGCCGGTCACCGCAACAAGCGCTTTGGCCCCGGCACCCAGTTATATTCGATCCTCACTATGCTCCCAGACTACGACCATGGGATCCGCGATGTGCGGTTCATTGACGAATTCACATGCATGTCATGTCTCTTCTTCCTCGCTGTTGCGTTATACGATTGTTACTTAACATCCTCCAACTTCGACCGGTACCTTGACTGGCTGGACCTGGAGATAAAAAGGCTCAATCCTTATACGAACCCCAGTATTACTTCTGTATTATGGCTTTTCCTCAACAACGGTGGCTATTCAAACGACCATGCTGGCGATGCAGGAGAGAGATGCTGGATCGTCTCCCGAATGATCCGCATCGCCAAACGTCTGGAATGGAAACGCCACGGGACAAGCTGGGACCGTCTCCGACAAGTTTTGATAGATTTTATTCTAACACAACAAGAATGCGCCCTTGGAACAGATCAAGTCAATGAAGAAGCCCTCGCGGCTCGACAGCAGAAGCGCCGGCGATCGGCTGAATACTTCTGGAGTGAGGACGAAATGCGCGAAGATATTCTGGACTTTGATCTCAGATCTTTCACGCCATATTCAGAGACAAATGTACCAATCCTTACATGACTAGCAGACCTGAATGTAGTGTTTTGCTATACGGTCAATTCATGATACTAATGATGATTACGAGTATGATGACGGTAACGGATATCATGAGCAAAGAAAACTTGCCTTGCATTAGGGTCTTTTTGGTTCATCCTTTCTTCATTGCGAGCTACATGGGCATTGGATATTCTCCTTTTATAACTTTATTCAACATCAACTCTTCAAAATGACACGTTCACACACCTTGAAATAGTTATATATATATATATAGCTTAATCTATGGACAGTGGTGTGGGGTCAAAGCATAAGGGGAAGAATTAGTCTCTGAGATTAATTGAAACCTTGTGATAGCTTTACTCAACCTACTACTCAATTAATCATCCCTTGCCACCGACCCAAAAAGCAAGGGTGTCTGAAGCATTTACTAGTCAGCGTTTATGAAGCAAGGGTGGGTGGAGTAACCGATCTATATGCATTCCGCAACCTTGGAACTAGAACGGACTACTAGTGTAAAAACGCTTCTAGTAATCAATAATCCTGAAAAGCTACCCTAACCAACGCTACGGAAATTACTCGGCATAATGTGCAAACAGGGCCAGTATGTCTTCTTAGGTTTGACGTCCGTAAAAATGACAAGACTCATCCGCATGGGGTCTGTGAATCTATAATACATCCGGCCGTACATACACGTTCATGTCATATCGTGATAATCAGTTCAAATCACTTGGTGGGTATTGGATTGCACTCTAACCATTAATAATAAAGAAAGCCTCCACGGATTCGAGATCAGACTTCCAAGCATCATCCGTGGAATAAACATAATTCAATAACATGCCGGCAAGGGTAAATGTAAATAAAGTCCAGGAAACGCAACTCATAAACGGTCCATCCTCGTTCGCGCCTCGTTATACGATCACCCCAATCCATGGTATCAAATGTAAAAATAGAAACTTGCTGATGAAAGCCCGGAGTGGGCACGTGGTGGGTTAGTGGAAAACGTGTCTGTGTTCTCTCTTTTTCTCAAAGCTGGCTAAGTCGTTTATATCTGCATCGCTGCATATCAATTCCATGATAACGTTAAAAAGAAAAAAAGCGGATTTGAAATATGGCGCATCTAGGTCGGCTTGTCGCATCCGATTCTGCCTAGTAGTGCCTTGCGATCGCTCTGCTCGCCGAGCCGAACCCGCCCACGTGCGCGAGGGCGTACGGCAGATGATCCATTCGATCGACGCCATTCGGCGTTGGTGGCATCAGCACTTGTCGCACTTCCACTGGGGCCATCCTTGCTCGAGATTGTCGTCTCCACCTCTTCATCCTCGTCGTCACTGCGCGAGTCCTCTGCGTTGCCAGTACGGAGAACACCCACCGCCACGCGGATGACCATCGCGAACCAGATGATGGACAGCACCTGAAGGAATAGCAGGAGGGATAGAAAGATCCACTTGATGGTGCGGTTCATGCAGATAGGGCCATCGATATTCAAGAATGGGTAGAAAAGATGGGTCAGTTGATCGGGGTACCCATTGTTCGAGATCATTTCGGCTGTCGTTCCGGAATAACAGCCGTACGACATCCTCGCGGGAACCTCCTTAAAGATGGACCAGCACAGCAGGGGGTACAATATATGACGCGTGATCAGCCATGTGACCATGAAAACAACGAAGGCAACGTTGCAAGCCAGCTCGTAACCAAAGTACTTCAGTATCTTTGCCGTCTACCCATGTAGTCAGTATACGGGATCTTTGAAAAGATATCGATTGGGACCTACCGGCAACAAGAGATCCACGATATCCATCAGGCACAAAACCACATTAGAGACGTTGTAGAAGCCGTATATATAGGCGGAGGTTAAGAGAGTGCTGGTGATGATGTGATGAGTGAACATTTGATAGTGGTCTTTTCTCCGCTCCTCGATGTTGATGACAAAAATCTGCTGCATCCAGAATGAAAGCTGCGCCAGAAGATACCACTTGAGCGAGCCTGAGACGCCGCGAGCAGGCCACTCATCCCAGATGGCGGCATAATTCATCCAATGGTTGGAGTTCGACCAAATGTACTACAGACCGACAGTCAGTGTCCGGAGCAGCCACACAATTGGGAGAATTGTACGAACCATGCCGAAAGTCCAGAAGGACGCGTAGTACAGCCACATCCAGCCTTGTTCGGCAAATCGAACTGAAGCTTTCCGTTTCAGACCTGCATGCATCGCAATTGGTCGAAGAATCCAGTCAATTACAATGGCCCGGATGGCCGTGAAGGCGATCGCGGAACTAGCGACAAAGTAAATATCATCCCATCCTTGAACGTAGAGGCCTTGAGAAGGTTGGTAGTAGGATAGTTGGAAGAACGGAGCGGTATAAGGTCTGAGAGAAGGGTAGAGATGGTGAACGGCCAATAGCATGGAAAGGATTGTCAATGAAATTCCTGGACATCAACCGAGCGTTAGCAAAGACAATGCCACTGTTTGTTCTCCTCGCATCGAATTCACAGTCGAAGGAGCAAGCATGCCGAACAAAGGAGGGATTCGAATCATTCATGCGTACCGATTTGGTTGTCAACCACCCATTCTCGGAACGTGGTTTCTTTCACGGCAGGGCGGTGGCCCGTGGAAACACAGGCATTGAGCTCTGTGACCGATTGCGACGGCGCTTCTTTGGTCATGACGAGAAGTCTCGAGTGTTGGAGGATCAAGGATCCTAGGATGCCTAGCACGAACGATAACTGTTCTGCACCAATGGCGGAACCAACAAAGAGGAAATTGGAAAGGACAGGGTAGAGAAGCGGGCGAGAGTGGTTCCCGACCACTGTTACGTCGCGGTTAAGCAGCAGTTACTTGCACCCGCGGTTCCGCTGCGGGTACCTCTTTTTGTTGGGTTTGGCCGGGCGAGAATGCCTGGAGTCTCAGGCAGATCAAGGGACGGGACCGTGTGCCAGACCGGTCGGGAATCACCACCCAAGGGTCGAAATATATCTATATATAGATCGATATTCAGAAGGAAAGGTGAATCAACTTCTCGTTTTCAAGACCGAAGAGAGATGAAATAGAGAGGAACCCCTAAAGGATAAAAAAAAAAAAAAAAAAAGGAAGTAGAAAATCAAGTAAAAAGTGAGAGAAAGAGAAGGAGGTAGATGAGGGGAGTGTTTCACAAGAGGGACGGCCCACAGTCAGTTACGTATGCAGTACTTGGGATTACTCTGGTTCTACCTACTGACCAGAAGTATCAGAGAAGTACCACCTCCAATGTGCCCTCGTACACCGCCTGGGAAAATCCATCGCCTTAAGGTTCCCAACCTCCGCACGGGTTTCCCCAATGGTCGTCGTTCTTCTCTACACACGCTCTTTCTAGAGGCTATTCCATCTCGGTTGGTCCACAACTAATGTACGATTCTTTGAGTCATCTGGTTCTCTCAGGCCTAGTGCTACGACCCTGGAGGAGTAGTGAACGGTCCATCAATTGGAACTTAGGGATTTAAAGTCCTGCGCTAACGGAAACCACCTGACCCTCTCATCCTGTCAGTTGTAAGGGTCAAGGATCAATCGGCCAGGATGGACAGTTGTGATGTACGGAGAGATTGCACGTGCCATTCAATTTATTCCTTACTCTTTATAACGCTGATGGGGAAATGATAATGTACATAAATTTATTTGTGTTTATATAGCCCATTCAACTATGGATATCTACTACACAGAAGACAACAAAATAACAACGTCTACTATGATTTCTCGTGAGGCTCAGTATCATTATCCAAGTCGGCCGTCACTCCATTGACATATTCCGCCGCACTAACGCCCAACTTGGCCAAATCCACGCCTCCTTCGCCTGCCATCGCCCGCGACATAGCTCGCACCACTTCTTCTTCCTCCCAGATATTAGTCGACGGATCTCCACTGTCAACCTTGGCAGTGTCCGCGTTCATCGCAACAACTGCCTGCCAATATGCATCATCTCGGTCTTTCAGCACTTTATCCCTGACAACCGCGTTGCGAGCCACGTTCACGGCATGGAGCTTCGCAGTGGCTCCAGACAGAGCCGACAGGGATGAGCCCACCAACTGATCCACTTGTTCCGCTTGGGAGGGAGGAGTGAAGAAGAAACGGTGGGTAGCCGTCACGTAAATCAAGAAAGAGCAGATGCCGTCAAAGATCGCAAACGCCAAGGGCCGCAGCAGAGTGATCTGATGGTACAAACTCGATGGCGGACTGATACCGGCCCGTACAGCAGCGGACGCTGACTGTACTGGATCGTACGTAAATACGATGTAAGCATCTAGGGTAGCCAGAGCAAGGCCCGCCATCGTGAACTTGTTGCGCCAGGCTGCCGCCTCTCGACCTGCGAATGGTGCCGATGTGACCAACCCCACGATCACCATGTGGAAAAGATGTGGAAGCAGCGTGTGGAAGGGAAGATAGTATAGGAGGTAGGTGTTTATATTGTCAAGTGAGCAGAACTGACATCCTGTCAATGTCTCTGGCCCAAAACGTAGGTACACCTTTCTGGCCCCCAGCGACGTGAACTTGGACCGTAGTAATATGTCTGCATCTGTCAACAAGTTCTCTGGTCTATAACGCGCCAGCCGATTAAAGACGACATCCGTTGGGGTATTAAGGCGTGAACGTGTCAGAGCGAAGATGTTTGGGCTCGGCGCATGGGGGTTAAACGGTAGGCTAAGAAGTAAAAAGAAGAGAATCGCAAAGAAGAGGACATTCAGGGCACGCGATGCATTCTGAGGGAGAGCCCGAGGCGCTGGACGTGATGCTAATGCGACTCGCGTACTCCGGTAGAAGTTGACGATCCGAGGTATAATGATCGGTGCGAAGAAGATCAAGAGAGATTTGATGCTATGATAAGTCAGTGTCAACCAATAAGTCAACAAGATCACTCCCCGATGTCTAGGATACATACGTTCCAAAGGAGATCCCTGATTCCACCATCTTTCCAATTTGTCATATAGCGTTGGCTGTCGCATCGCCCGAGAACAATTCGAAATCGAATGAAGCTCAGGTGTCATAAACGCCCCTGTGGTTGATCTTATCGGCGGCGGGCGGGCGCCAAGCGGCGCTTGTCATCTACCAATAAGGTTCCAGGCTGTGGACAATGGATGTACTAGGTAGTATTATGCTAGTATATCCACATTGAAATTTACTTGTCCACTGGACCTACTTTGGAAAGGTGAAGAAGCCATATAGAGCGCATGATATTCCAAATAACTCGGTCGCTAATTTCTTACAAACAACCCCCGCGTTATAACAAAATTCAAAAGGTATCATTTACTCGCTTAAGGAAAGGTTGATGGTCATCTGAGTCAAAGTGATTAAACATGTCCAGACTGCATCGCCGGATGATGGGCTAAGCTGGGCATAGCAACTCCTGATGAATCTCTTGAATATTTTGACGACGCTGCGTCGTCCGGGTTCACTGGTCCCTTTATCTTCAGCGGGAATCGAGGCATGGCCGACTGTCTCCTTGGGGTTGACTCTGTACTGTATTTTGGCAGCGTATCTTCTCGCTTCATGCAGAGCTGAAACGACCGCTGGCTGTCCGTTCGCTTGACTACTTTCTGTGGTGCAACTGCTCCATATACCCGAACATGGCGTGCAGTGACACCGCTCTTGCGATCAGCGAAAACAAGGCTCTGCGATTCCATTCGCTTTGGTCAGTGTAAGTACTTTGGCACATCCAGAGAACAAAGCTTACCGCGACCAGGTTAATAGCGCTCATGATCATAGCCAATATCCCGGCAGAGAGAACAATTTGCCAGAATGAATTTCCAAGGGACTCCTGGCTTGTGGCCTCCGTATTCAAGTCGCCCAAAATACTGACTCCAAGTATCAGCATTGCCAGGGCCAGGGTGATAAACCCAGAATCCTGACCCAAGAGGGGCCAGTTGTGATCAAAATAACCGCGGAAAAAAGGGAGTTCTGAGATGATAAGAATGACTGTTATCACAATCATTTAGCAATTTGATCAAGACACTTGTTAACAAGGGCGCTGTGATCACTTACTGCTAACTCCAGCGATTATGACATGAGATGCCGCCTCGAAGAAAAAGAAGCTGCTCAGCAGCGAGATCTTCACCAGCATCACCGCGCAGGCAGCAATAATGTCTAACAGGGCGATTATGTTCAAGACCCGAATCGCATTAAGAATCACAAACCCTGGGCCGGCCAAGGACTCTTTCAAGGAAGCCATCATGGATCGGGTATTACAATGAAGGAAATGCGCCAGCACCTGCCTGTCCAACCTTATGCAAAGTTAGACCAAGATTCTTATAGTAGTATATTCAAAGAATGGATTCGTGTGGAATTTTGGAGAGAAACTGATAATAAGGAAGGTGGAAGCGCGGCTCTGAGGACTGACCAGCAGCAGACTGTATTCAGATACTGAAGGAGGCGGCGAAAGAAAGAGCGACAGAGTCAGGGTTAACCTGAGGGTTAAAGAAGAAATGAGATCAACATAACTCAGCCAGGGCATTGCCTCCAAAGCCTTATTGATATGTCCTGGCGCGCCACGAAATGTCGGGAAAGAACCCCAAGCGTATTGTCAAACAACGACAATAAGTACAATAGGCAGGAGTCGGACCTGAAACACACTCAGTGTTCTATTGAGCGACAATGTCCATTCATCTTTATCCTGGCGCTATTTGTTGCGCTTTCTTGTCTTCCATCGCAGCTTAGTGTTTCATTACCTTTTCACAGCGACTTGCTCGGCGCTTCCGTTGGATTTTGGTTGGTGTTCCCAGGAGATTCCTTTAGCGCTGTCTTATACAGGGAAAATACAGTGATCGACTTACATGCCCGATTGCTATTCACCCTACTTACAGAGCCCCAAGCCTGAGAAGGAGGAGATCGGCTAGTTGATCGCGGATGTGTCCTATCGAACTGCCATGGTAAGTTTCCCCTTCCTTGCTCGGCATGCGACTCCCATGATATTATCTAGGGTTAAGCGCCCACTCCATTATTTATTTTTAGGACTACTCCACTACCCTATGGGATCATTGTTAAAATGATGCTGGATGCTTTCTCACAGGTGCATTAGGCTATTATTTATTCACCCAATCGCCCATCCGATATAACCGCCCAAAAGGTTGCAGCGCATACCTAGGTAGCTCGTTCAAATCTTGGATAGTTGAACTAACCCAGTCGATCTTGAAGTTGTCTAAATCAATCCCTGGCTTTGTTCAGAATGAGATTTTGCTCCCTATATACCGGGGGTCGCTCTCTCGCCCCTTATTTTCGGTGTGCACTAGCCCTCTCCCATGAGCGTTGTTGCACAGTAATATGAGTATGGCCAAGTATCTGTGGTCACAGGACCGCAGCAATAGTAGATCTGCTAACATTGGAGAAGGAGCAGTACCTTAGTACAAAACTTGCATAGAGTTTGGAGACTATGGCTAGCCTGGCATCGACGTACGAAGGCCAAGGCAGGTGATCAGAGGCAGAGACATGGAATATGTTTATCTTCCAGACAAGGAGAAGCTGCTGGTTACAAACCTTAATCTAACCTTGATTAATATGGCGAGCCTAGCCTTGGCCGATTCCAAGAGGCAGAGACTCTGAGAGTGGAAGTTCTAGAAGAGAGGAAGTCAACCTTCGACAACCGGAGCGTCGAAACAGTTTGGACAATCGAGAGCGCTCTAGGGCCGAGTCAACCCCTTGTGCCACCAGAGCAAGAGCAAACTTGGTAGGCATTCTTACAGAAATCGGAGAAAGCCTCTCACATTGAAATGCAGATACTCTGTGGCAATGATCCTCGACCATCATGGCCGAGAAGCAGAAGCGATCCATCATCCTGGTGTTGGTCGAGACGACGAAGAACGAAGAAAAAGCACTGGGCCTTTCAACGAGAACACTCTGGTATCTATTGGGACACTGTCGGAATATCTATAACATTGAGTTGATGTTATGTGAGATATACTGGACCGTCATCCACAGGAAGCCGGCCAGTTACATATATAATTCGGATTTAGAAGGTCATGTTCCCCCAAAACGGAATATCTCCTGTGTAAAGGTTGGTGTTCTTAGCCAATGTAAATTTCCAAATTGAAATAAATACATTCCGATAACTATGTATTATAGCTACTAGCAATGTCAACCTGGTGTTCTCTTGGCGCGGATGCCCGGTGGTTTTGCAAACTGTTGGTGAAATAGGATTGTATGGATACCGGCGGAACCTTCCACGACCCTTGGTTAGTCCTCACCAAGTCCTACTTGATTAGATAGTATTGGAAGTCTTAAAGGCAAACTTTTTTTTTTTTAGAACGCCCCCCTTTCCCCCCCCCCCAATCCTCCCCACCAGCCGCCGCAGACACGGAGTCAATAAAACAAATTCCAAGGGAAAAAATTATATAGTCACAAACAAGTAGAAAGGAGGCCAAGAAAAAAAAAAGTCAACGTCATTCAAGATGACTCGCGGAAACCAAAGAGACCAGGATCGCATCAAGAACCAGAAAAAACAAAACAAAAAGGTAAAGGACGATTTTTGATACAGGTCCTGTATATCTCCCCTGTCAGGTTTTCACTAAGACCATATTCTACCCGTCTAGAAAACCGCCAACACCTTGTCCGGGACGCAGTTCCAGCAGAAAAAGGAGTCGGATGCTGAGATCATGCGAAGGAAGCAAGCAAGTGGTAAGTGTTTTTTTTTTTTTCCACTTTGTCTCCCGGTGAGACACAATCGACAATCGCATTCTTAACTAACTTCCGGTGCTTGAAATTAGCCGACGCAGCGAAAAACTCATCCGATAAAAAGAAATGACCAGTATTGGCTTGGATCCGTCATATATGCCACCCGCTTCGTTTCAATGAACATCCTCTTATGACATACCCCTCGAGCAACCCCCGCTTTTTTGGATTATAACCATGTCTGTCGGAGCGCATCTGTTTGGAGAGATGCCATATGTTGAGAGATGTGATGGGAATGACGGATCTACACGGGCTATTTTACACTATACACTGGATTCTATACAGGGAAGTTGGGGCTATTGGCGCATATTATCATAGCATTATATCTAGCGAGGCGTTATTCAAAACGCGGAGGAGTTTCTATTCTTCGTACGCAGAGCGACGTATCACGAAGGCACGAGAGACTATATTAATCATACCTGTTGCTTGAAAGACTAAGCTTTTCGACATTTGATGGTATTTCACCACGGCGCAGACGTGGGTAGTGTGTGGTTTTCTCAAATCTATGGTTCATTGTAGCCAACTTGATTGTAGCCATCCCAATATTTCCTCGCCATGGTCAACCAAGATTTCCAAGACTGCACTGGCAGAGCTGTATTCTTCATCGAATCATCCGGAACCGTGACAATAGGAGTATAAGAGATCCCCGTAACTCTCTGTAGAGTATTGATGACCGTTTCCTCTAGATCAAGCGCCTTGACGGACAGGTCCACAAAAGTCCAGAGGCTCTCGCCTTCCCACCCGACGTCCAAAGCGTAGCGGACCACCCTCTGAACAGTATTAAGTTGAAGATCTGCCCTCGGAACAGCTTCCAGAAGGTAAAGCATGAACATCCACCCGGATATATCTGACGGATGGGCCAAGCACCAAGACAATGTCGAATCGAGGATTGACTCAGCCAATGCAGAAGGACCTTCCTGGCCTTTTGTAGCATTCGAAAGGACGCCGACCACTTGTCTTATATAGTTAAAGGCATAGTAGTTCCGTGGATGTAGTTCGCCGGCCCGAAAGACTATGTCTAGCTCAGATTTCAGCAAGTCGACTTTGCTTTCCTGGTGTTTGTTTGTTTCCGATGGGCTGACGAAGGGTGGTCGCCTCGCTCCCATTCCGCGTGTTTCGAGTAACCGACTTAGCACCCATAATCGATGTTGCCATAACGTAGGGGATTTTGTATGTCGGTGCAAGGGCGAACAAATATAAGTTGTCATCAGGGTGAGCTCAGTTTCTAGCGCTTGGAGAAGTGGCCCTGGATCGTCGGAGGAAAGGTCATGGTGTCTCTTGAGGGCGTCCAGCCGCCCGCGTCTCCAGTTGCATGCTGTAAGATGCTCGCAGTCGAATAACAATATTATTTCTGTTGAGACTAAAAGGTCCTCGAGGATCGCGTGCGAAGATCCGTGCGGTACGCTCTCATTCTCGTTCTCGTGTGGCGTGCGTGGAGTTCCGTATTCGAATTTGGAACTCGACTTCCCAAAGAATATACGCCTAGCAGTCACAAAGGCCTGAACCAGGTATTTCTTCGTAATACCTACAGAGCATTCATCTTGGAGGAGGGGACCAAGAGCTGGCGGGAGAATCTCGATCTCAAGAATGCGGTTGTTTCTGGTCGTAAAGATCCGAGCGAGTTCTTGGAACGCATTGTCTGAGGCGGACATTGGGGTGTTTCAATCTATCCCATCATTGAACGAGTCAACCGTCATTTACCATGGCGTGGACAATGGCCTTGTGTGTAGTAGTTTCAGACGAGATGCTGTGTTGAAAGGCGGACAGAAATGCCGCCGACGGATTTAATGGGGCAGAAACGAGAGGCCAACATGACAACGTCATCCAAATCACGAGAGTTCATTGTTCCACGACATTTCCGACTGTCTGTCCAGTTTCTCCTCTTCACTCTGCCTCCACTTGTCTCCTTACATCAATCTTCTAATTGGAGGTTTTCGTCCCTTCAAGATCGCGCGGAACAGGTCTGATTATCTCTTCAGCGCAGGTGGGTGCTGTGGCCTCCCACAAACCCAAAAGTAGCTTCGCAGTCAGTTCCTTCTGTCAGTCACATTTCTCTACCACGACCATAGTACACACTCCAAGATGTTATCCCTGATCTGGACGATCTTTTTCCTCCACGTTACCATCTATGTGGTAAATACTGTTGGCGCAAGCACGATTGACAGCCTGGTACGTCCTATGTTTCCTGTGATCAAGCTACACTCAGTCACACGGTTCAAACCACTTCAACTGCCACCTTGATCAGTTGTTCCTTGACTGACAAAACTGTTCCCTCTAGCTATGGCTTCTCTACCTGAAATTACCCACATCAACTTCAAAGAATGCGCGGGAGCAGAGCCGGCTGAAGCGCGAAGCCCTCGAGTTGAAACGGGACATGAACAACACCAGCTCTCAGGATGAATTCGCAAAGTGGGCTAAGCTTAGGCGTCGACATGATAAAACCATGGATGAGTACGAACAGCTGAGTATGTGATATGCCTCCAGCCCTCTTCTCTACATTCTCTTCGTGCCACTCCTCCATAACCAGTGCTGAAACTGACTGAATATACCACTTCTACAGACAAAACGCTCACGGCACAGAAGAGCACGTTCGACTGGAGTGTCAAGATCGCTCGGTGGCTTAGTACAAACGGTGTGAAGATCTTTCTCCAATTCTGGTACTCGAAGTCGCCCGTTTTTGCGCTCCCAGAAGCGTGGATCCCCTACTACGTGCAATGGATTCTGTCATTCCCCCGAGCTCCTATGGGATCCGTCAGCGTTCATGTTTGGAACAGCGTGTGCGCGACGGCGGTTTCGGTCACGGCGGAGATGGTTACTTCGATGTTTCTGCAGACAGCTCAGCCTACTCCGGTTGCTACGGCTCAAAAGACGCAATGATTGACGGTTGGCATGTTACATATTATGGATTACATGAGAATGTAAAGTAAACCAAGTGTTTATTTTGTTAGAATTAAAAAAAAGATATCTATCTAATAGTGTAGAAGAATGATGTTCTTCAGATATGAAAACAATCGTTTATCGTCAACAACCCCATACCGTAGTAGGGATTTCAGGGCTTGACTCTATGATTGGTATATCATCATGCGAACAGTGAAGGAGACAACAAAACAAGATGTAAACAAGGGAGTCCGGCCCCTGTGACAGGGCTTCTGTGTGCGCGGCTCCATGAGAAGCCAACACGGTGCACCGCTTTACCATAAGCTACAGACTCTGGAAGATAAGAAAAAGAAGTGAACTCCTCGCCTCAAGAATGAGCCCCATTGAGTTACCCAGTCCCTGCAAGGGAACCAGGCAATCGCATGACTATCCAAACACGACGAATGGCAACCCAGATAAACCCCTCTCCGGCACCCAGTTATACCACCATTGTTTCCACCGTGAAGGCGTCGGATACAAACAGGATACCGGGAGGGAATAGGGCAGTCAGCCGCTATCGAATTGCTTCTATGGCGGCGCGTTTCCGCAATGCCTGACCGATATGAAGGTCAGGATGTCCGGGGACTTTCTCCCAAAGCCATTACCTCTCTCGAAGAGAGGAGAATATCCCGTGAGGAATATTCTGTGTGTGAGCTTTGAATGCGATCCTTTGAGCGAGAAGTTGGAGAGAGAGAAAGAATTCGAGAGCGAAAACTTCGTTGGAGCTTTTTTTCTAGTCTTTCGGCTGATTGAAGTGGTTCCGCTAATCCTTCTGTGGGCTAGTGTAATCACGTGATATTCATGTAGAGGAGCCAATGATGTCCTTTACTTTGAGCCGGAAGTTGTATGTTTCAAACTGGAGGAAAAGGAAGTGTTGTTGGATACCATCATGGTTTTTCTTTCAATATTGGTAATTTCAACTAGTGTGACTTAGACTTAGTGTAGAAAATTAAAACGTACAGTCGCTTTTTGTTCCATGGAAATGGAGAAAACATAATTTATGCTATGAAAGTTACAGAGAATGTTAAACTGGGATTTACGCCTTGGTCTTGGTCTTTTTCGCCTTCTTAGCCTTTGCTCCAGCCTTGGTGGCAGGCGAAGCAGTTGCTGCAGGTGTCTCCTTCTTGGGTGTCTCCTTCTTAGGTGTATCCTTCTTGGGTGTCACCTTTGGTGTCTCCTGTTCTTTTGATTGTGCGCCCTTCTTCTTGTCCTTCTTAGCCTTCTTGGGGGTATCATCAGCAACCTTCTTGTCCTCCTCCTTTGGCGCTTCAATGGCCTTGGCAGGTTCTTCGGGCACTGTCTCCGAAGCCTCAATGGCCTTGTTCTCTTCCTGCTGAACGGGGACCTCGTCGACACTCTTCAATTGGGGTAATTCGAACTCGTAGCCCAAAGCCTTGAGTTTCTCAGCTTTGGCGAGCCGCCTCTTCTGTTCACGATCGATGCGCTCCGACCACTGCTCTCTTGTCTTGGCCTTATCAAGTCGCTTCTTCTCAATTCGGTTCCAAGGGGTCCGCTTAAACCGTCTGTTGGCGCCCTTCCAGAGCTCTGCGTGCAATTGTTCCTGGGGTACGTATTTGCACTTCAGGATATGGCCATACATCAGATAGTTATCCATGGTCCCCGCGACAATCTTCGCCACAGAGGTGGAGGTGAACTCAATGAAAGCGTAATGCTTGGAACGACCGGTAATGCGATTGCGGGAAAGACGCAGACGAGAGATTTCGCCGAATTGCGAGAAGTAAGCCTTCATCTGATGTTCGTAGAAACCGTGCGGAATACGTCTGTCAAGTAACTGGTTAGACCTAATTCACCAATGATCGAGTAAGGGCCGGAAGACTCACCCGACGTATACAGTACCTGGCTCCTCCGCCTCTTGTTTGTTTTCCCTCTGTTTCTTCAAGATCTTTCTCTTGGCCTTCTTAGAATCAGGAATCTTAGGAACCGGTTGGTCGGAGTTAAATCCTTCATCCCCGGACTCGTCCTCGTCCCCGCTGCTCTCGAAGCCCTTAATGAGCGCGGCGGTCCGGTCATCCTCTTCCTCATCTTCACTTGCACTAGCACCGGACGCGGCAGACTCTTCATCTTCCATCTCCTCATCGTCAGACTCTTCGGCGACTGGCTCTGGCTTCTTGGCCTTGGTGCTTGCTTTGGCCTTGGTAGTCTTTTCCTTGGGAGCGGGGGCTGCTGTACCATCCGCCTTCTTAGTCTTCTTGTTGCTCAACTTCTTCTCTGTCTCGACCTTGGCCTCAGGGGCGTCCTCTGACTCGCTGTCGTCGTTGTCGCTGAGGAAATCGGCAGCGCGCTTGCGAGGCTTGACCTGTCTTGTCGGCTCGCCATTGACCTTCAACTTAGCGGCAGGCTTCTCCGCAGCATTTCCCTTGTTCTTCTTCAGAATAGGCTTGGGGCTTGCATTCGTGGATTCGGCGGGCTTGGCTTCCACCTTCTTGGTCTTCTTCGCGGGCGAGTCGGCGGCGGCAGTAGCGGCGGCAGCTGTGACATTGTCAGTAAATGGTACGGCAACCCACCTGGGAAATCTGAGCGAAATGGAAGGACAACATACCCTTGCGCTTCTTGTCTTTCTTATCTGGGGCCATTATGGCGTAAAATAATAAATTGTAGGCTGTGGTTGAGCGCTACAATCCAGACCTGTTGATAGTGAGAGGGTGCGGAAACTTTTTTTTTTTGCATTAATTTTTCTTTCTTCCGACGGAACGCCAAGCGGTGAGCTTCCGTCTCAGTCTTAGTCTTATCGATGGACTAAGTAAACCTCCCTCGCCTTTCATTAGCAATCACAACAAATCGTCTTAATAAAACAGCCCTTCCTTTCCCCTTTTTATTTTCTAAGATAAAGCGGATGCCATGGGGAAGAACAAGAATGCGACCAAGGCACTAACCCAGGAAGAAATCTGGGACGACTCTGCGCTCGTACAAAGTTGGGACGAAGCAGTAGAAGAATACAAGGTACCTTTTGTTCCCTAAAACTGCGGCGCACGTGATATGCACTTCTAACACACCACTGGATAGCTCTACCATAGCATTCATGCCAAAGGGGAAAATGTTGAAGATGTACTGAGGGATGCTCAGGACGCCGAAAATGGAAAAGTAGTTCCAGAGGATGGTCAAGGAGTGGTCGACCAAGATGACCACATGGAGGCCGATGTTGAAGAGCCGGCGATCGATACAGTAGCGGCTTCCTCTGAGGCTCAGCACATACCACAGGCGGATGTTTTGCAAGTATGTCGTTGTAGCGATAGTTAATTTATGCCAAGGTAACTAACTTTTGTTTCAGAACGCAGGTAGCCCAGAGGTTCCTGTTCAGAGAACGAATGACCCAGCTGGGCCCGGTGTTATGGGATCTGCCATGCCTCAGACATTGTTATCGCAAGGTGAGAGAGTCCGCATCTATATGTGCTATATAAGCTGATTTTGTATATGTTTCAGTCCAAGATGAAGGACTGAAGAATCTTATGATGTCCTGGTACTTTGCAGGATATTACACTGGTCTTTACGAAGGGCAACAGAGAGCAAGCCAAAATAAGAGTTCATGACTTATCTCTCGCTACAAATGATAGGCACTTACTGCCTCACTATTAATACAAGAGGTGACATGAACCGCCACTGCACCTAACTATGCCCTCGGAGACGAGTATTCTAGATGCTGCGGTCAGTTGGTCTTCTGACTGAGCCACTGGGCTAGGGAATAGATTGGGTCATCAACTGGAAGCCAGCCTTATACGCGTGTCTTCAGAACCATCTTCATATATCAATCGTTCGCCCGTGGGCTGATGTTCAAGGCAATGATTTCTCGCATATTAGCCCTAATTGGGCACAATGGGGATATAGCAGAATTCCAAGAATAACCCCTGCAGGCAAGGAGTGCATCAACACATTAATCAGACAGATTTTAAGATACTCAAACACATTATTATGTCAATCACCGTCTCCAATAGGGACTGGGCACAGATTAGATTATTAGCTTTTGTTCTCATGGTGTCTCAAGGTGCTTTTTTATACACCAGAGGCATATTAACGAAAAGGAAACCGATAGCTAGTAATTTGATTAAGATGTATAAACGGCTATTTAGAAACATGACATCTAACTTGCTCCAACAACCCTTGGCTCAATACAGTACTTCCTGGTCCATCACTTACAGAATTCCCAGGAGAGGGCCGAGGAAAGGGATACTCTTGATAGGGTCGTCTTTCTGAGCCGAGGGGCTAGGAGTGGCTGGAGTTGCAGAGCTGCTGCCGGACTGCTTCTTTGTGGGAGTTGGAGTGGGAGAAGGCTCGCTTTGCTTTTGATCTTCTGTTGGAGTCTCTTCCTCAGGCTCCTCGGGCTCGGTGTCGGTCTTCGTCTCAGGTGAGGGCGAGGGGGAGGACGAGGGGTCCTCGGAACCATGCACTCTCTCTGCACTTTGCGCTTTGTAAAAGCCCTTCAGAGACTCGGTTGCTGTCCCACTGCTGGACGGTGTGGGAACAGGGCGGACATTGACGGGCGTGGGCTTCGGCGTCTCATCATCGTCACCGTCGTAGAATTCTTTGTTGATCTCCTGCGCCACGTGGGTGGTGGACTGAGTCCTATCAATCACCGTCCCATCAGGCGTGTTCAGCGTATAGCTCACCTTCACAGCATCATAGGCAACATGTGCCATGCCGCTGGGGGCAACCGCACTGGAAGGCAAGGCAGGGTCTGCGCGCTTGGCCGGCAAAGCAGAGCCCGTGAGAGCTAGGATGAAGCAAACGGTATAGAAAGAGAGCGTGGTACGGGCCATTTTGACAGGTCTAGGATTGCAACGAGGAAGATCTCAAATTGGAAGGAGTGGACAGGCCTATGAGATAGCCAAACTATTTTTGAATACAACTTTCAGAGGAAACGTGCTTGGGAACGAAAGACTCGCTGTCTTGCGGAGAATAAACCCATCATTTATACAGGAGACAATGTTGTCAGAACGGTAAACACGCGAGGACATACATACTCAAGGGAGGCGACCGGGCATTTCCCAGAGGTCGCGAGGCTGGCTCGTGCAATGAGGTTTGCGTATGGCCTTCGCCCGACAAGATTCAAGCACCATCCGACGGCAAAGCAAGGGAGCAAAACGGCATCCATGGACTCCTGTCAGCTGTTCCTTTATCTGATTGGCGAGTGTGCCTCAATCAGTGAGAGAATCTTGCCCAGCGACATTCCAAAGCCTCGGATGAGAAGATCTTTCCATATGTTGCAGCCCGCCCTTGGCTGGGCAACATAACTGGCCTGATCGACATTCTCCTTGGGACCATCGAAGCCTGCCGCGATACGCCATCCACCGTGCCAGCCCTTCCCGACGCCTTGGCTTTGCAAACACGCCACAAATTCTCAAGGCGACATACTTGGAAAATCTTTGACTACGCAATGCACATTCCAAGAAACTACTAGTACAGCTTGCAACGGTTTTCGGAATGTATCTCCCTACTTTGACACGTACCACCCCATCTGAAACTAAGGTAGACGCAACACGAGGGAGCGTTTAGAAGTGGACGATGTCCACGGACTCCTTTTCGGCACGGTTTTGACCTCGAATATCATAGAGCAGTGACGGACGAGACTTCGAATATGCCTTGCTTGACCTTTTTTTGTCTTTGCGAGCTTACGGGGGTATATTGACCTGTTTGTTAGTTCGTGAGCAGCGTCGGTTGAGCAAGGGAAAGATCATCTTCTTTCCTGGGCTATACAGAACATGGCAATCAACCTTCCCTCAAGACTGAGATGGTTGATCGCTCAACTAGGTACGAAGGACTGGCATGCGTCCTAAATCAAAATCCCTTAGAAAGGGGTGTATGCTCAAAGCGAACCCAAACAACCCCGTAGTCGGGCCGGTTGTACCGGCACCTTTTGGCAGGCGATGGGATTAGAACGAGCACAAGTTCATCGCTCTCGGTCTCTGTCTAAAATTTGCAGACGGAACGGGAGCTTTGAAGGCCAAAACCTCCATCAACAAGGGTATGTCGGAGACCTGAAATATGTTGAAGAAGAGAAAAGCCAGCGGGAACCAAACGCGGAAATTTATTTGGTGGAGCTTGTGGGATGGGTTATGTAATCTACAACTTAGTACCACGGCTGCACTATATTCCGGTTCCTTGAATAACTTATTACTAGTTCGTCATTCTATGTAGCTTTAAAACAATTTACAACGAAAATGGTAGTGAAAAGGCAGTAGAAGAGCCATAACGAGGCTATCTATCATTGCCTTTGCACTTCCCACCGACCATGATCTAGAAACGAGCGAGAACCCTGTCCTGGGTGTCGGCTAGTGCCCACTCACTGCTGTGGTTCTTACTCAAAACCGTCTTTGCCTGCTCAGTTGTGAAGCCCTTGGCTTCAACAGCCGGGTTGTAGCCGAGACCGGTGATCTTTCCAACAACGTCTGACGGTACGGACGCCGCAACTTTTCCATCCGCTCGCTTGTAGACAGTCACCACAACCGCGCCTCCCAGACCCAGGTTGTGTTGCAGGGCGGCATCCGTTCCATCGATCAACCGGTTGTTTGCCCAACCACGCAGGTGCCACACTAGTTCCGCGCACTGCGCAAGACCCGTCGCTCCCAGAGGATGACCCTTTGAGATAAGGCCTCCCGATGGATTGATCACCATCTTGCCCCCATAAGTGATGTCGCCGCGACGAACCATCTCGTGCGCCTTACCGGGCTCAGAAAGCTCGAGTGCATCGATTGTGATCATCTCATTAGCGGAAAAGCAATCGTGTAACTCGCACACCTTGATATCCTTCACGTTCACGCCAGCTTCCTTAGCAGCTGCCCGACAAGCATTACGGGTCATTCCGAAACCCATCAGGTCAATTGAGCTTCGGTTGTATAGGGTGTTATTATCGGTGGCCAGTTGCTGGCCCGCAATCAAGATTGCCTGGTCCTTGAGATGCGGCCGAGCATCCAGGAATTCTTGGGAAACGACAACCGCGGCAGCGGCGCCATCCGATGTCGGGCAGCACTGCAGCTTGGTGAGTGGCTCGTGGATCATGGGCGCCTTGAGAACCTGCTCAAGGGTGTATTCGTTTTGAAACTGCGAGTACGGGTTGCGCTTGGAATGCTCATGATTGATACGGCCTATCTCGGCGAAATCTTCGTTCTTCGCTCCATACCTACACCATGTCAGTTGAAATTCCGTAGAAGTAGATAGATGGGGCCCTGGAGAGCATACTTCTCTATATACTCCCGACCAGCATTACCAAACATCTGAGCCGCCCCAGGGGCATTCGTGATTCCCCTAGTCTCAGCCATCATCATTCCAAGCAAGCCTGTGGGGTTCTCCCGGTCATTGTAAACCGACTGAAGGCTTCCAGGACTCATTTTCTCGAAGCCGACAACGAGAACACAGTCAGCGGCCCCGTGGGAGACCATCGTACGGGCCATCGCCAAGCCAGTGGAGCCCGTTGAGCAGTTGTTGTTGACATTGTAAATGGGAATCTGTGTCAGACCGAACTGATAAAACACACGCTGGCCGCAGGTACTGTCCCCATAGACGTAGCACGCAACTCCTTGCTCAACATCATCATAGTTGATGTGGGCATCCAGCATGGCCTTGACGCCAGCCTCAAAACCCAGTTCATGATAGTCAACCTTGCCCCGAGGTTTGATAAATTTGGTCATTCCTACACCTAGGACATAGGCGGGAGACGCTGCCTTTTTGCCCATTGTGCCGATAGGTGGTTATGGGGGAATCTAATTGTTAAGGAGAGGAGAAGAACAGAGAGAAGAAGACAAGGTCCGTGGGATTGTGCGTGTGGTCCAGAGGTGGAGAACTGGGGAAATGTTGTTTATTTAAAGCATTGCGGCATTGATATAGCAATCGGTTAAGGAGGCAGCATATGAATCTCTGCAGAATGATTTACTGCGGAGAACGCCCAGCGGTACTTTTTGCGGGGAGCCGCCTACCGAGGTCCCGAGGATATTCTTTGTTCCTTGTGTGCGACCTGCACAACTCTTCATATCTCATGTCTTTCTGCTGTACGCTGCACAACAAACCACAGCTCTTACCTTCTGCTGATCGTCTCACTTTTTAGATCAAAGGATAGTCATAGTCAAGTCTCCTTTGTGGACCATCTCACATGATTGGGTTGTACCTAGGTCGACTGTGAGGTCCGAGGATTATACAATCAGATCAATGGAAGCTCAATCTCGATGAATCTTTGATATATATATGTGTGTGTGTGTGTGTAGAGAGGTATATCATTTAGTCTGAGATGATCGATAAATGAGGGTGCCCAGTTGTGGTGTTGGACATGCTACTGTCCATACCTATATTAGATACACATGGTTTGGTACCGCGGGATATAGCCGGGATCATGCCTTGGTATTGAACAATGCATTCACGAAATGAACAAGAAACTTGCCTTGGTTTAATTGGGGTTAAACAAGCAACAGAGCTGCACTCAGATGCTAGGATAACCAAGTATCAAAAAGCACAGACATGATTGAGCTTCAAAGCCGATTCCCACACCTAACAGCCCCAATCACATGGCATATCAATCCTCGAAGTGGGCTCGGGTGGAATTTAGCTGGTATACCGGACCAAAGCTCATTTGTCAAGTTGATGATGTCCTGACTTTCTGGCCAGTAACATGGGTGATGTATTGAAGGGGACCAAAATCCGGACACCTATTTGTATCTCTGATTGGAAGTCAAATTTATTCGAACTACCCGACATAGCTCTTATCTACCATTACGACACCATTCTTTCGATTCGGATGGTCGAAACCATTACATAACTGTGGTACGGCCAACGATACACTCCGTCGATCCATAGCTTCCTGATATTCAACACTTGCTTCATGAGGCAATTTTGCTCAACTGGTGTTTTTATGCATCGGGTAGTATTCGTCATGGACACGGACGAGGATTCTTTCAGACCCTATCATCATAAGGGGCCTTTTCCAAATACGTACGATCAAAATGATAGTGCCGTATGAAGGTTTACTCCATGACTTGGGGGAGGGAGGGATGGCTGGCCTTCTACCTATCATCCAGCAAAGAATTATATACTCCGTCAATAACTGAGGTCGTATCTCGACTAGGTCATATTCTGATGAATTATGAATGTCCCTGGCACTCACCTAGACCCAATCCGGAGTAGCCCCCCATCCTCTTCATTCCTCAATCAATCAGAAGGCCTGTTAGTCGGCGGGGTAGACGGAGCGGGTGTTACCACCGCCCGGACTGGTTTGGTCCGATACACCTTCACGCCCTTGCCACTGGTCAGTTCCTACCCTAAAGGGGGGCAGTACCTTGACTGAAAGTCCTCCGGTAATCATACCACAATAACATTGCGGAGACTCGGGATTTAGCTATCTGATCGTGGAAGGTAATGGGAATTGCAGCGAGTTAAAGAGAAAAGCCGTAATATTCAAAATTGACCATCCACTCACTCACTCATTGAGTAAGTTCCTCTTCCTGGGGTCCAGCAATGGGAGGATCGACCTGTAAGGAAGAGTAGTGTGGGTTTAGTGTGTATGGTGGAGGTCGTACTGGATGCCTCACGACGACGTCACTGGACAGACAGTCTAAGCCGGTTCGAGCGAACCAACCAGTTGAAAGGGGAGAAAGAAGGTCCACCACTGACTGCCCTCACCCACATACCTGCTGGAATTTCGGGCGCAAGTCCACTCCAGCAATTGTAATTTACCTAGAAGCTGGAAGTTACCTAAATTACCACCAGCTGTACTAAGTTACAGTCCGTGCCTACAGACTACAATCATGGGCAGCTGGTGATCCCCTCAACTTTCTTCCTCTTCGATTCACCCCATTCGACTGTGTTCATTGCATTGGGTTTTCTTCCACACCCACGAGAGTGGAGGTCTCGTCCCTGGAGGTATGCTTAGCTTTCTCTCTGATTTTGCATTGGTTTTCTTTTCGCCCAACGGCCCCAAGACCAAGGGAAAGAGAAGAAGAACAGAAAAGAAATGAAGCAAAGGCCTAGTGTGGTCGATGAAGCTGACACTATGATTCCTCTATATAGGTAGCTCCTAAATTGCACCATTTCTCCTGCTATCCAGACTGTTCTTGAATGTGATAGAGAAGGCACTTAGGTGTATTCTACACCAGCTCCAGAAAACCATTCGACTTCGACCGTAGCCGTCTCCGGTACGCAGACACGGAAGAAGTGGATATCGTCGCTACGACCCTACTGCTGGCCTCCGCTATCGCCTCCCCTTCATTGATTTAACCCACGACGTTCTTCCCTCCGTGAAGTATCTGCACCTTCTCTCTACAGATCGAACCATCGAAACAAAGGGTGGTCTAGGCCCTTGCTTCATGGACAATTGTGGGACGCCGAACGGTCTGCTCGCACGTTGAGAGACCGCTTTGCGTTCCATAGGGTTCCCCAGCCTGCTGCACGACATTGAACAGAATCTGAACATACAAGCGACAATCAAGGCCTCTCCCATTTCGCCCCAAATGGGATACCTCCAGGGATGACTCTTGACGAACACACTGAACATGCGCCCTTTTCTCCTCCCCCCTCACAACCTTCACCTGCCATAATGCCGACTGGTAGTACCTGGATGATGGATGAAGCTACCCGTAACAAATTCCTCAAGAACTACAAAACCCAGGTGGCCTCGGCAACTTCCACGATCTGCGCGACTCTTGCTGTAGTACGTTTCAGTCCGGAGCAGATGTTTGAATGGAGATAAGCTAATTGGTTACTCCTAGACCCCTCTTGAAAATGTGAAAACTCGCATGCAGACGTAAGTGCTTAACATATCCAATAGTAATAACTGTGCTGACTTCGCTAGCCACAACTTTAAGAATGTGTTGCAGTGTGTCCGCTACTTGTGGCGGACTGAAGGTCCCCGTGGCTACGTTGCCGGTAAGTCAATGCCGGCTTGGAATGACCGATGGTCGATAATTGACAATTCTGCATCCAGGGGCTCTGCCACCTCTAGCGAGTGTTACAGCTGTTCGGGTTGTAAACTTTTCTACATATAACGCTGCCAAACATCGTATCTCCGATTTCTTCGAGAGAATGACTGGCCAGTCTCCCCTGGCTATGTACAATCAACCGGGCAGCACACCTACCGTCTCTACCTTTGTGACATTTACCACTGCTGGGCTAATTGCTGGACTCATTACCTCTCCGCTTGCATGTACGACTGAATAACAGCTTCTCTTCATCTGAACTCCAATTGCTGACTTAAGTTAAAGGCCCCTTTGAGCTTGCTAAGAACGTTGTTCAGACCTCAGTCTTGGTGTCAAACCGTGCCCAGGCCTCGCCGGACGCGGTCAAGGACCCCTCATTGCGCAACAAGCCCCGTCTCGGCACTATAGAGGCGATTCGGCAGATTGTCCAACGTTACGGAATCCGTGGTCTGTATACTGGCTTTCATTTGCACGCTCTGCGTGACACTCTCGGGTCTGGCTTATACTTCAGTGTCTACGAAACGGTAAAACAAGTCGCTTCCAAAGAGCTTGGTCCAGACAAATCCCCATTCGGCGGTCCCATGATTGCCGGGGCGATTTGCAGCACTGTTCCGTGGTTTTGTGTAAGTGTCGCACCGACGATACCTATATGTGCGCTACTAACCGCCATAGACCTACCCACTTGATACTCGAAAGACTCGCGCCCAGAGCGTGTTGCTCGGAAAGTCCAGCGAAGTCGGGGAGGCGTCGGCCGCGGTTGCCAAGTCCAGTATGTATAAAGGAATATCTATTATTCTCATCCGTACTGGGGTAAACAACATGATCTTGCTCAGTATCTTCGAATACATAAAGATGAAAATCAATCAATTGGATTGATGCGATTTCTGGGACATTAGCCGATGTGCAGATGGCCATTGGCGTTGGGATTGCCGGCGTGTGCGTTTATGATTTATATTTTATCGAGTACATATGTGCATGAGCCTGAGGCTCCACGCAAATACAGAATGAATAACTTGACTGTTCCATAATCAATAACACTACCTGTCTTGTAGCCACAAACCATTGTGCGGAGTTACAGTACTTCCGGATATTGGTGTCACCCCCTACATTCTTTCATTGATTCTCGAACACTAATGCCAAGAAACGAAAGTCTATATCTAGATTAGTATATCCCGATTCTAGGCCCTGTCCCGTAAAATACAAGCTAGACTAGATATGTGTTTGTTAACTACCCGTCTCTGCAGATGTTCGCACGTACTTACACCAATACCCAACGATTCCATAGGCAGGTATGCAGCTTTATCTCAAGTCAACTTCATGTCCGACAGACATCGATGTCCACATCCCCCCCCCCTCCCTCCTCTGAAGACAGATGAGATGAGCCGTGAAACCGGGGGATCCAGCGAGTTGAGCATAAGACCTGGCCAGATACTGCCACGGAGGATATCATCCTCTAAAAATTAGGGACAACCTAGATGACGGCCGCTATCGACTGGCGGACAAGTTTGGGTATGGAGGATACTCGACTATATGGCTTGCCCGTGATCTACGAAGAGCCAGATATGCGGCAATGAAGGCTATTACTGCTGATACCAGTGCCTACACGCCTGAGGCAGGTCTTCTATATTCTCTTGGGAACTCGCCATCTAGACCGGGAAAAGAAATTATTCCACCTCTCATCGACGAATTCTGGGTCGTTGGTCCCAATGGGAAGCATAAATGTATCTTCACTCCGCCGGCACGGATGAGCTTGTTCGATGCTAGAGAGGCTTCGACTTTCGGGCTTTTTCGGCCTAAAGCCGCACGGGCAATTATCGCTCAGCTCATTCGTGGGGTTGCATTCCTTCACAGTGAGGATATTGTTCATCGTGGTATGTGATGCTTATGGATGACTCTAGCTGAGTTGCCTAGCTAACACCATTTGTAAGACCTCCATCTAGGCAATATCCTAGTCCAGTTTCCTGATGCGATCGACCGTCTGTCCACGTCAGAACTATATAAGATGTTCGGAGAGCCAGAGTCAGTGGCCGTTGTTCGTCGTGATGGCAAGCCATTGTCAAATGGCGTACCCGCGCATGTATTCATACCTGGTTGGTTTGGCGTTCGCAGCGATGATATTGTCTTTGGAGAGGAGAATATCATCTCAGCGACTTTGGAGAATCTTTCAACCCACACAAAACACCCAGGTTCTCCTCGAAGACCTTTCCTCTCCTCCAGCCACCAGCGGCCAGATTCTCTGACGAGCCGCTCTCCTTTGCCTCGGATATTTGGACACTTGCCTGTACCGTCTGGGAGATTTTTGGCCAGAGGCCTTTGTTTGAGGCGCTTTGGCCAACTGCAGACCGTGTCACCGCAGAGCAAGTCAAAGTCCTTGGTATCTTACCTCCCGAGTGGTGGGGGAAGTGGAGCAAAAGACTGGAATGGTTCACCGAGGAGGGTGAATTGAAGCCACAGACGTCTAGGAGCCTCGATGGCATGTGCAGGACCTGGGACCAAAGGTTTGGTTACTGTATACAGCAGCCCCGGGCTGAGGCGGGTCTGGAGACTGTAACGGAGAAAGAGAAGAGGGCATTTGAGGATATGCTTCGGCCAATGCTGACCTTCCGGCCGAAGGAAAGAGCGACAGCTGAACAGGCATTGCACTCAGAATATATGAAAGGCTGGGGAGAGCCGGTCCTGGAAGAGCTGGGGTACGTTTAATTCTGTGATAAAAAAAGGGAAATAAAAGATGTAAAACGAACCTGGCATGTGACCCCGGGACGCATAAAATGTATAACGACTGAAAAAATTACGATTGCCCTTTACGGTCCCAAGTAATTCCAAGATCATCACTTGGACACGAGAGTGGTATATAGGATATGACGCTTCTTATGGTTGATTGGTTTGTATATCAATTGTAATGAGAGTGTGTGGTGCCTCAGGCCAACAAACAACGTCATCCGTCGCCCGGTGGGGTTGGGTTTTCAACATCAACAAATGTTGCCCGGCGACGATCCCTCTCTCATTGCGCTCTTGACTGTCGCCCAGCATGGCATCGTATGTGCTGTCTCAAGGATGTACTGTTTTATCCGGGCTGTCTAGGCTAATTAATTGTCCAGAAATATTCTTCAGATCCCCTTTCGACGCTCTCACACCGTTTCATTGTCAGACGCGATCACCCAGTATATCTCCACCAAGTATGACCAGCGTCCAGATATGTTTGCAGATGATCTATTGATCATAGATCGCCTTCGGAATGAAGCGATTCACGTTCAGGAGCCGCATGTTAGTGGGATCAGTCGATTGGTCACATATGCCGCGCAGTTGAAATGGCTTGGTGGGAAGTTCCCGGTCGATGTAAGTAACCTAGCATGGCGATGGGAGAACTGGCTATAAAGCTGTTACTGACATAGAAGTTTACAGATTGGAGTCGAGTTTCCATGGTACCCTGCGTTAGGGTTCAATACCTCAAGACCGAGTATGTGAAGAGTAATTCGGTCATCGGCGTTGTTGCTAACGAGTACAAGTCTCGCAGAACAATATTCGATTTGAACTTGCGAACATCCTCTTTAATCTGGTAGCACTCTACTCGCAGTTAGCCTTCTCAGTGAACCGTACAACGCCAGATGGACTCAAACAGGCATGCAACTACCTCTGCCAGGCCGCTGGAGTGTTAGCACATCTCCGAACGGATATCCTTCCTGATCTTCGTACCTCACCCCCGGAGGATATGGATGATATGACATTACAGAGCCTGGAACAGCTTCTGCTCGCGCAGGGACAGGAGTGCTTCTGGCAGAAGGCAGTCAAGGATGGGCTGAAAGACGCTTCCATTGCTCGGCTGGCGGCCAAGGTCTCCGATTTCTACGTAGAAGGAGGTGACTATGCGGTCCAATCGAATGCTATTAGTCCTGAATGGATTCATCATATGACAGCCAAGCATCATCATTTTGCTGCTGCGGCGCAGTATCGCCAGTCCTTGGACTGTTTGGAGAAGCGAAAGTATGGTGAAGAGGTGGCTCGTCTTCGAGACAGCGAGGTTTGTGTCAACGAGGCCTTGAAGGAATCACGTTGGATCAATCGCACTGTGCTAGGGGACTTGCAGGGACTAAAGAACCGTGTGACGGAGGACTTGAAGCGCGCCGAGAAAGACAACGATGTAATCTATCTCAACCCAGTTCCGCCAAAGTCGGAATTGAAGATCATTGATCGTGCATGTATGGTCGCAGCGAAGGCGCCATCTCAGGTGACCGATGCTATCTCCATGTTGGGAGACAATGGACCTTTGGGGCAGCCGTTGTTTTCCAAGCTGGTGCCATACGCCGTCCATATCGCCGCCAGTATTTACTCTGACCGCCGTGATCGGCTCGTCAACGAGACAATTATCGGGGAGCTGGAGACTATGACGGACAAACTACGGGAGTAGGTGTTGAAATCAGGCTCTGACGAGAAAAATACTAACTGGTATAGTCTATTATCGTCTCTGAATCTTCCTGGCTCCTTGCAGGCTCTTGAAAAGCCTCTTGGATTACCGCCTACGTTGGTCTCCCATGCGGAAGAAATGCGCCAGCAAGATGGTTTGAACCGGTTGCGGAGATCACTCGAGGATACCGCTAGGGTGAAGGCCAATGACAAAACTGCATACAATGAGGGTGTTGAACTACTCGCCGCAGAGAAGGCCGAGGATGACTCTTCGCGCCGCAAATACGGAACCGACAGGTGGGCCAGAGAACCGTCCGAAGCAGCGGCACCGAAGCTGTACACCAGTTCTCGAGAGATAGACGGCTACTTTTCTTCCGCTCAGAGTAGTGATAATTTGGTAGAGCAGAAGCTGAGAGACTCGGAGGCGGTCTTCCGAGTTTTGACCGGCACTAACCGGGATTTGGAGATGTACGTCCCTAGCAGCCGGAGGGCGGCAATTCCGCCAGAGGTCGAGCGGGAATCTATTCGGCTACGGGGTTGCTTGAGCGAAGTAAGCCGGCTGGAGAACCGACGGAAACGTCGAGCACAAGCTTTGAAGGATAAAGCCAGATCAGACGACATCAGTAAGTTACAGGGTTGAGTTCGAAGACCAATGCTGACAACGCCCAGGCAAAGCCCTTCTCAAGGAAGCCGCCCGCTTGGAGCGGGAGTTCCCCATGCAGGCGATCCAGGCGAGCCAGTTCGAAGATTTGTTCGAGGAGCAGCTGCATCTGTACGATACAGACCTGGAGATGGTGACCCAGGAGCAGCACGAGCAAGACCAGATTTCTGCACAGGTGCGGGAGGCTAACCGTGCATTTACCCGGGCGCACACGGGCGATGCTTCGACCAAGGAGCGCGAGAAGGCCTTGCAAGAGCTGGAGAATGGCTATCTAAAATACAAGGAAATCATCTCAAACATCGAGGTGGGACGGAAATTCTACAATGATCTGGCCAAGATTGTAGGTCGATTCCGGGATGACTGCAAAGCATTTGTGCACCAGCGAAGGATGGAGGCAAGCCAAATAGAAGGGTGAGTGGGTCGAAAACCCAGTAAATGACTTCCAGGCGCTGACCCGGGCAGGGAAATCACCAGCGTTGCGGCGATGGCCTCGCTCAATCTCTCCCAATCACATTTACGCCAGTATAGCCAACAACCAGCCCAACCGGCCCAGCCTGTCCAGCCTGCCCAGCCGGTGCAGCAGCCGACTCAACTTCCACCACAACCTCAACCGGTCCAGCACCAACCACCAAGGGATGAGCCACTAACAGCACCCCAACCAACACGAGCCAACACAAGACCCTCGATGGCCCCCGGCGTGTGGTCGCCTGATATGGGCATTCGATTCGGGGCACAGGGAACTTGGGATCCGAGCAAGGGAGTGAAGTTTTCCTAGTATATATTGCATTACTCACAATTATAGAGTCATGGTACATCATACATTACACCTGTTTTTCTCGAGCATTATAGAACCCGCATCATGACAGCAGCGGCTTCCGCTGCCAACTCTCTTGTACATATCTTAAGATCTTCGCGGAGGCTCAAGAATTGAAATCGATCAATCCACATTTCCCAACGCCTCTTAGGAATTTCCCCGATAAGTTGCTTAGGCGCAGGCCCCAGAGACAGACCCACTGGGGACTCCTCCTTCTGCCCCGTTCGCTCCCACAGCTCTTCCCCCATGATAACCGCCCAAATAGCCGCCGCAGCCACAAACACAGTCAACTGCGTCCCCTCATCCGCCTTCCTATTATCATTCTCTTCCGTCGAAGGAAGAGAGTCGTGTCTCTCTTCCAATGCCTCTCGAAGGACTACAATCCCGATGTTCTCTAGCCCCGCGATTCGCTCCTTCGTAATCAGGGCCAAAAACGCCATGAAATTCACCCACCCTTCGGTCTCGATCTTGGTAAACTTGGCCCGTCGTCCGGGCTCATCCTTCAGCGCTTCACAAACCGTCTCCTCGAACAGCGGCAGCTGTCTCCAGGAAAGATCCCGACGAGCATTGACAGGCGATTGAAGATGGGCGGTGGGCATGGGCGCCGGGTCCGGTTGGCGTTTGAGTGTAAGCAGAAGGGCAGCGAGACGGATCTGAAGCGGCGTGGGGACGTCAGGGGGCGTGTGCGGCCTTTCCCGGGGTACCTTCCGGGACGTGTGTATGATTGCGCTCCATAAATCTCTTAGATACTCGTCTTCAGACAATTCAGCCAACCCAGTTAGTAAAAAATACAGCTAGTTCATGCGTGCCATATATTGCAAAGACATAAAAAAAAAAAGCTTGAGGGAGGATACCGAGATCACTATCACCCCCGTAATATACCTCATTGATGACACTGACTATCTCCTGCACGGCAAGTTCCAGCGCCAATTGCTGGCTCATGTAGAGCGTGACGATGGCTGTGAAGGGTTTGGTCACGGAGCCATGGACCCAGCCGTGGTCCGTCGCTAGGGCGTCGAGGGTGTTCATTTGCACAGCTATTGAAGGTCGAAAACAGCTCGCCCGTGTCAATTAGGTACTTTACGTAGGTGATCCTATGCTACTTTTTATTCCATGACAGTGGTGGTGTGATGATGCTGGAATGACTGTTCTACTGGTCATGATGTCATGTCATGTGATGGCATCGAGACCCTAATTTGATTATGTCCCCGTTTCTGGTTTGCATTTTATCTTTGGTTGAATAAACTGAAGCGGAAGCTTAGATAGATAGGGTTAGGATATCTGATTGGAGAGTTATTGACTGAATAGGTTAGTGGTTGACTTGTTCGGATAAAGCCTCCATGGTTAGCCCTTCCCCCGTCTATCCAATTGGTATCTCTTAGGTATCATGTACTAGTATCTACTGGAAGTAGAGCACTTGTTAATTCCCCTTCAAGTTTGCCCGCATAATCTCCACATCCTCGTCTGAAAACCCCAGCACGCCCGTCAAATACCCCTTCACGCCCCCGAAGGACTGCTCAACCGTATCTAAGAACGCAGCCATCGCAGGAGCCCGCACGCTCACCAGCTGCAGCCACCCGGCACTCTCTGGGGTCACAGTGCCGGAGATGGTGGGAAAGGCCGCTATCAGCATCTTTCGAGCGGGCTCGATTCCGACGCGGCTCAGGGCGAAGTCATGGACAATAGCGTCGGACGGCGTATCGGCCAGCAAGAGGATCAAAGCCGCGAGGACGCCGGTACGGTCTTTACCGGCTATACGGATTCGACCCGATTCATTAGTGAATGGACATATATAGATACATATAAGATCCATACATATATTCAAGAGAAAGAAACACAAGCCACGCATCACAAAAACATACCAGTGCAATGAAAAAGAAACGGCTCCTGTGGCCGATCCCGGATATGCAGAAAGACCTTTCTATAAATCGGCGTCGTGATCTCCATGATACTCACAAACATGTTTATAAACCCGGAGACGCCCTGGTCCTCTTCTTTGAAGTCTAGCGGATTCGGCGGGCCTGGCTCGCGGGCATACCGCTCCCAGACGGCCTCGACGCCCTCGATGACAGGAGTGGGCGATTTAGTCCGTTCATCAGGTCTGCGCAGGTCGAAGATGGTGGTTATCCCGACATCGCGGAGGGCTGTTTTGCCTTCGTCTGATAGTCTGGATAGCGCGCCCGAGCGGTAGGCGTACCCCGCGCGGAGATTGTCGCTGCGGAGGTTGCGGATGTTGAAGAGTCCCGGGATGGTGATGAACGGGGGTTGCGATGTTATGGCGGTGACTGTTTCGGAGGGGATTTCGGTTCGTATGTCTGTTGCGAGGATTTCTTGGAGGTTGTCGTTGGGGGCTTGGTTGGGGTTCATTGTGTGGTGTTGTTTTGGGGTTCTTTGATTTTTGGTATCGAGATGGCTGGAGATATGTTAAGTGTACGTGATGGTGGTTGTGGGTTTTGTATAGATTTCAGGGACGGCCGAGGCTATTTATAGGTTTATCTATGGGGAAGTGCGGGTCTTGTGTTGATGTATGACTCTGCTTATATACGAGGTGTAGAAATGTGCGCATATAAACAGTGTGTGTGGACTTAGGGGGTTCATGGTTCAAGTGAGAGACGAGAGTCTTTAGTACCACAGCACATTAAAATTAATTAGCAGATTTCTTCCTGAAGTACATCTGCAGTGTATACTTGCAGTCTGGAAAGTACCACCTCATAACCTCGGCAGCCATATCATCTGTGTGGATCCAACCCACTGTCCGCAATGCAATAATCGAAATACGCCTCACGACTTATCCTGACTATAAGTAAACGCATTCTGCCAGTAAACACACCGAGCATTGCATGCTGGGTCACGCATCCCCGTGATATTGTTCATTCCTATACTTACCACCCGACTCTCAGGACCATATATCTCGAGGGGCGGGGCTAGTGGAGACGTCGGCTTTCCCGTTTGAACGAAACTCGTAACGTAGTCTTGCAGGATGAAGGCCACCGTCTCGTTTGTTACTTGGAAGAGAAGACTCTCAGCTAGAGGCTTTGCGCCTTTGGTGTAGAATGAGTAGGGATGGTCCATCCAGTGCATAGCGGGAGGGATGGAGAACACGTAGCTGTAAGTACTGTTCTTGTATGCATGATTCTAGTGGTATGAATTGCACTGAAAGCATATGTCCGAGAGGACGGAAGAGACTCGCTCAACCCATCCGCGGTATCCGTACGTCCCATCCAGGATGGGTGGGTGTAGAACATTGACGATGGTCTCTTTCATATCTTCCGAAAGGTCAAGGAAGTGCTCGTCCATAAGTGAGAGTAGACCCCATTCTTGAAAACTGGATGGCGGCGTGTACATGAGAGCTTCGTTCAAGGTATGGCCATTCAGTATCCTCACGCTGTGATCGAACTCGCCGCGCAGCAGAAGTTTGCCTGGGAGATCGGAAACAAAGACGCCGTCCACCACGGGACCATAAGTGAACGTTCCATAGAGCGAGCTTGACACCTGATGGGCATTGGCAGCAATGAGTTTTTCGGAAGGTAGCTGGCGTGCCTCCTCGATGGTGCTGACGTTGAGGAGCTCGAGATATCGGCGAAAGGTCCGTTCCTGCTTGTCTGTATCATAGTTCGGCTCCCAGGCGGGACTTTGCAGGATGGCCTGCTGGAATAGGGAAGGTCCTTGACGCCCTTGGTATGCAGTGAGTTGATGAAGGATGGACCCTGATCCGGCCGATACGCCCATAACAGTCACTCGGTTGGGATCACCTCCAAATAGATGAATATTCTGAGCTACCCAGGTTAGGCCGAGTCGTTGGTCATGAAGTGCGGCGTTGGGGGTTCCTTTCCGGGATACTGTGTGACCCGCTAGCCAGCCAAATGCACCGAGCTACGGGGTGATCGTCAGCGATGAGGTGCCTTTGTGTTCTCACCTATCAGGAGTGAGGTGCTTACCCTGTAGTTCAGAGCCACATAGATAACCCCGTCCTTGTCCTGCTGTTGACCCCGTTGAATGAGACCAGATGGATCAACGCCACTCTTATCGCCTAGAACATAACCTCCGCCATAGAAATATACGATAACCGGAGCCAAACTTTCTTTAGGTATCGGGGGTTTGCCCTGAGCTCGGTCAAATACTTTCTGTGGCACCACAACATCAAGGAAAAGACAATCCTCCGAGGTTCTGGGGTCCTGAATGAGTGGAACTGGGCAGGAGGAAAAATCGAGGGAGTCAAAAGTTGTGTTTGTAAAGTAGCTTTTCAAAAACCGCGGCATGATATATCTGCTCCATATCGGCGTAGCCTGTGGGCAAATTCTACCCAATGCCCCTGTCTGGACTTCAGCGCGGTTCACCTTAGGCGGCAACGGGGCTCGAAACCGTAGGTTGCCCAGAGGTGGAGCGGCGTATCTAATGTTACTGAAGTTGTAAAGACCAGTAGTCTCCTGGGATAATGTCAGTCGCTAATGCCTTGGTCTTTGCAGTAAGCTGGCCTTACGTTTAACGAAAATGCTTGATGGAGCTCATAACCTAGATCCACCACAGGCAGGGAAGAGGCAGTGGATACGTGCCAGCAGGTTACCAGGAGAAGTGTCAGGGCGGAGATAGAAATATCTATGATCATTATAGCAAATTGAACACAGAATTTCTGGGTAAAGAATCAACAAACATATCAATCAGCTAGCGGAATAGGATGAAAACGTTGAAGTATCTCTCATTAACCAGAAGCAGCTTTCTTATAAAGGACTTTCACTTATCTAGCCTCCCATGGCAGTGAATTGACTAAATTTCGACGGAAAGCCCCTTCAGTTACCTCGGTATGCCGTGCAGACAAAGGCAGTGATTCACTCGCCCGGTGATAAAGGTTGAGTGGTAACATGTGCCCTAGGAGGCAATTGTATCCTGGTTTCCTAAGTTATACAAGTAGCTTTATGAACTGATAGTAACATTCTGATCTTACCTGATCACGCCCTGATGAAGCTACCTCGCATTGTCCCTAAATTAACGATGATGCACGCAGCTGATCTTGCTATCGGGATAGACGAGTCAGGCTGCCTTTCAACACACTGAGGGCCTGAAGGGTTCTTCAGGACCTATGGGAGATTAATCTAGTCTGCAAGCCTCAATGCTTGGCTGGTCTGGTTGTAAACGGCCAGAAAAGAGAAATCCTGTCTTTGAAACACATGTTCAGCTACCTGTGTCACTGGTAAGACTAAAGTCACTGAAAGCTCATGCTTTGCTTCTTCAGTGATAGCTCGTGTACCCCATAGTAACCCTCCGAAAGCCCACAGGGATGTCGAGGAACCATTATGTTATTTAGTTTCGACAGGGAGCGTTGCTCTACCTGAGTTGAACATTGTGGCACCAGAGACAAGTTACGAATATCCTCCGTCGAGGAGGGACGAGCGTAATGAGATTGTCTCCTCCCACGTGATTAATTTGGTATAACAATGGCCGATTAAATGCCAACATCGGACATAACCTAGTCACATCTTCTAACTCCACGGGTTAGACCCGACGTCACACCAATTCAATCCCCGATCAAGCTATAGATCTTCATCGCCTCATGACATCCAATACCTACGGTAGCCAGAACGGCTCGATGTTCTCCATCGGAACACACAGCCTCTTCCTCTCCATAGGCGGGGTCGCTCGTAAGACCGGGGAGCCGCTTGTTATCTTTCTCGCAGGCGCAGGAGACGTCGCTTCGTCATACGTCGCGGTCGAAAGACTCGTGGGCACATTTGCACCCGTTGTCCTATATGACCGTTCCGGCCTAGGACGCAGTCAAGATGGGCCTACTAAGCCAACAGCCACGACAGCAGCTACTGAGCTGCATCAGCTGCTACACAGCGCGAGCCTTACCCCTCCTTTCCTCTTAGCGGCTCACTCCTATGGGAGTATTGTTGCGCGCGAGTACCTGCACCTATACCCAGAGGAGGTGGCCGGGATGGTGCTCGCAGATGCATCGACGGAGAGGCAATCCGAGCTATTAGACGATCCAGATCTAGACATCAATGCTGTACTGGGTGACCTCAAGTTCAGCCAGGTGACGGGGCTACGCGACAGCGCTCAACTCTCTCGAGACGAGTGGAGGGCTCGTGCAGCAGACATTGCACGAGGAATCAAGACATCCCAGGCTGAATCTGCAGCTGCAATGGAAGTCTGTAAGACATTAGGAAGCAAGGAGCAGTATAGGAACCAAGCACTAGGGGCTAGACCCCTGAGTGTTATACGGTGTCGTGGCTCTCAAGACTACCAACGAATATATGAAAAGGGTGTAGAGGCGGGCAACGGTACTGAAGCGCAGCGGACGGCCTTTCGCAGATTACTCGACCGCTGGGACCAATATGATCAGCGTGCGCAGGGTGAACAACTCCAATTGTCATCCAATAGCCGTCTTACCTACCTTCCCAACTGCGGCCATCATGTCCATCTTATCCGTCCTGATGTAGTTGCGTCTGAGATCCGATGGGTGAGGGACCAAACCTTGGAGAAAGGGTCCGCACAACGGCTTTAGGAGTAAAAGCTCGCGCAGCGCGTAGAGCTTGATTTAGTGCGACAGCAAGATATGTGATAAGTTGGAGAAGTTTGATCCCAAGCTTTGTATAGACTGGATGGCATGAGTTACTTGTTGGGTAAAATTACCTACATGCGTTCCCTATATATATGTATTGTAGCAATGATATCCTCATGCCTTTTCTTTTCAAGTTATCCCCTTTCTGTTCTTATAGAGTTATTCCTGATAGGTATATCAGCGCAGCCATAGTCTCAACGGATCGCCGGAATTTTCTTCTATCGGTTAATTCTTGCATGTCTACTTTTCGTTCCTCGCTTGCCCGCCTGGTAAACTGACCATCAACTGGGCGATCGGAAAGTATAAGATGAGATTGATATGACAGGGTCAAAGCTATACCCATCTCGACAAGGGGATTTACCATGCTTTCACATGTCATCATACTCTTCACACTGATTGAGATCATCGTTGAGCGTAAATTAAACCCACATGGAAGACGCTAGAGAGTATCGTATACGGTATACGGGACCAGGTACCTGCAGAGACAAACAATAGGTCAAAGCACGCGCTTACAAGAAACAGGCGCCCAGCTTCGTTGAAAACGATAGTACGAGTTAGGGACCCATCCTTTGGCTCTCCGTTATGCCTTCCTTACTCCGCCTTTAATTCCGTTCCTCGGATAGTCGAGCAACAACTTCTACCCCAAGGTTGGGCAAGCTAAGGGCTAAGGTACGCGGTGTAGGGCTTCGGGATTGACGCCCGATTAACCGGATCAGGCATATCCTCCGGGTACAAGCGTCTTGGTCTTTGCCCACGATTGGCTCATCGGGTAATGGCATGATTGCGTGGGTTTAGTTCGATCGCGCTTGTGGAGTGTTTGCCAACTTCTTGTTGTTTCTTTGCCTTTTAGCTCTTCGGTAAAGTCTCTAGCGTGAAAGAGGGGCTGAGGGGAAGAGACTCCAGAGTGAGCCCTGTTACGTGGGGATTTCTTACGAGCTTCGATCTTGACATGACGTATCCTAGAGTCCATCACTCAGGGCGTTGACTCGGGCAGAAGATCGTCCGTAGAATCGTATATGCCGTCGTCATTCATATATTCATATCTATTATAGTATATCATAGTACATAGAGGGTATCATAAACTAAGCATCAACAACGTCGTCCGGGCATCCTTCCCCCGGCGCTTCGAGGCCCTCCCCCAGAAAGAAGTCCAACTCGCTCGGACCCCCTTGAGAGTGTTCGTTCTCCGCTAGCTGCTCCAACAAACTGAGGAACGGGTCTTTCTCGGACGAGCTTTGGTCCCCCGGCCCCGCTCCCGCCCCCGAGGTGCTACCCTGGGACTGGGCGTCCGGCGTCAAAGCTGTCCCCGGAACGGATGCTTCAAAGGGGAAGGTGGCGTATTGCGGTTGGGACGGTGGTGTTGGTGCGGTGAAGGGTTCCGAGAGGAATGCGGTTGGGGAGGCGTTTACCCCGGATGGAGAGAAGCCGAGACCGCCGTCTGGAAGGCTCAGGTCGGGGCCAAGCCACGGTGAGGGTGATGGCTGGGGTGCGTTGAAGCTGATCGAGTTGCTTCGACCGGCTTGTGATGGGAGAGTTGGCGTAGCTGGTGGTATCGCCGGATAAATCGCTCTATTCCCGTCGTGGGCATCCACGCGGTCAAAGCGGGCGCTTGGAATCATCGTCAGATTGAGATCATCAAGCCTTATCAATAGAGAGAACTCACGGGTCATCTATATCTACTAATCTTACATGCGCTCCTTCAACAACTAATCCGGGATACCGATCGAAGAAATCCTCCAGATGGAAGACCGGCGCAAACCGCACCGGTCGCGCAGCTAATGTTCGCACCAGATCTGCGTGGCATGCCGAAATGGTTTGTAGCATTTCGCGCTGATGCTGAACCCCCGAGCAGGAGTGACGCAGCCATATTAGCTGGCTCATCTCACGCGTAAGGAAGTCAGCACTCGATGCGAACACTTCACCCTCGCGGCCATTGTAGTGTACACCGTGAATGTGAACGGTGCCAGCGGTGCAGGCACAGTAGGCTATCAAGTCCGGCCATTCAATGCGCGGCGCATGGCGCGCCAGCTCAACCAGTTCGGCAATGGCATTGGCGTGCGAGAAGCAAAGTGTGGTAGCCTCAATCTGCCATGACTGATGCTGGCCCGTCCCGCGGAGCTCAGCGAGGTCAATGGGAAGAAACGGTCGATACAGCAGGCAATGAACTAGGTGGTATATCAACTTGCTGAGAAGCAGAAGCGTGCTCTCTGGATGACCAAATAAGGCCTCAATTGAGGCGAATAGATCCTGCGTGCCGGCCGCCCAGATATCAAGTTCCTGACGGATCTTGGACAAGTTGGAGAGAGCATGCCAAGGAAAATGCGAGTCACCTTTGACACCGCCAGCAGCTAAGTAGCGGTGGGTGACGCCTAAGATTCGAGTGATGTCGACTAAAAGAGCAGCGGCTCCTGGGCCCTTGCGACGGTCGGATGTGAACTGAATGTTAGGACCGACCGGGTTAAACCATTCGCCAGATTCCGGTCCAGCGGAAGGTAATCGTAACACGATGGAATGATCAGCGATGAGGCAGGGCCGTTTTGAGCCGCAAGTAAGAAAGCGATCCATTGTATAAGCCGTCCAAAAAATACGACGCCTTATCTCGCGCTCTGCCCTACGCGACGGGCTTTGAGCAGGCAGTTCCCGATACAGGTCCAAAGCTAAGACCATACCAATAGCATTACCTATACATGTTAGTCATGAGGCAAGTATACTATGGGGTTGGGACGCTTACTCAATGCCATGTAAGCCTTTCTGCCATAACCATAAGCGAAAAAGGTCTGTGATAATAGTAAGAGAGTCTGCAGTCCCTCAATAGAAGGATCATCAATGTCCACTAAGCGTCGAGCCTGGCGAGCATAGTCTAAGCCTTGAGGGGAAGGGTTGAGAACGGTATATCTGCGCTATGTCAGAAAGCTTTCGAGAGGACAGACAGGCCGTAACGGACCTTATCGTCAGAGCATGGATAGCCATGGACAAACACACGGGCAACTGCCCTCGCTGATGTAGCTGGCGGGTGGCAGCCTCATCCAAGATAGAGTAGGGCTTCCCATGAAGTCGGGCAAAGTAAACGTCCAGCATCGAGTCAGGTAGCCTGTGACTCTGAGAAGATTGCTGGGGTGCTGGAGGTGGAGGGAATGTATGCGATGGAGGCGGAGGATGAAAGTTCACCTGTGCCGCAAGTTGCTCCATTGACTTAGTCGGCGAGCCCGAGGAGGTGGGCGACAGGGGATGATTGTCATCCTGGAGACGCTTTTCCAAGCCATCGACGCGTTTGAGCAGGGCCTCCAAGACATCTGTTTTAGGGCCACGTTTTTTCGGTACGGCATCTGAAGACGTCCGTTAGTGGATCAGGCATGAAGACGGCATCCTCTGTCTGTTGTGTACCATATATACAAGGGCATTGGAACACCTTGCAAGCCTCACAACTTGGGCGCAGCCGGTTGCATTTGATCTAATACATTTTTAGAATTGACTGTCCGTGACGAGTGACCAGAGGTTTCTTTATTACCTTCCTCTTCCGACAGGACTTGCAATTCATCGACTCTCGCGGTTCGGCATTGACACGGCGGGGAGTTAGCCGGTCGATGCTGACCTGAGGTCGGGACATGGCCACATTACATGACATATGCCTGTTTGCGTAAAAAGACGGATGGATAGACGGGAGACACGGAAGCGAGATATCGTGGGAGGAGGATAAACAAGATTCTTGACAAGCATTGAGAAGTAAAGGGTTTAAAAGGAAAAGAAGAAGAGGTTAAGAGTGAGAGAATGACCCCAGATTTAAACGCAGTGGAAAAACGTGGAGAACACGGGTGGGACTACACTGGATGAGGGCTAGCGTGACGGAGATACAGCCGATGCGGGGATGGTCGCTTACCGGCCGTACCAAAATTACCAAACCCAGAGCCTTTTCCCATACTGACTTTCGCCTTGAATCTTTTACACTTCGAGTCTAATTTCCCATGGCGTTTAACAAGCAAAACCTTCACATCCTTTTGACTTAAGTAGTGGTGCAACCTTAGTGATCTGCAAGATTCGGTTAAATACCTTTTATCCTCGACGGGATTTTCCCCTGTCCATCACGGACTGCCGTCCGGTCGGCAATAACATGATGTGCATCCGCACCTCTTCATGTTCATCTTCCCCTTCCCAATGTACGGTAGATTACCTGCCCAGGATGCTTTTGTCACACCATCTCGTCTCCTAGTCCCAATGTAGTATCATCTCAGAGAGTCCCATACGAAAACTGTATGGCGCCGTCCCTCCGCTAATTTAATTGAATCAGCAGAATGTCATTTTACGTTCTGCAATAATCCTGCCCCCCCCACATTGAATTCAACCTACTCCAATCAGCCTGGTTGCAATGTATTGGTTCACCCCCTTCCCTCCGCGGAAACCGGGTTGCGTCACTTAAGTCCGATTCATCTATCAGTACTCCAATATATATACATCAAATCAAAATACTCGACCTGACGCCATGCGCACAAAATCAAACGGTACATTCTGTCCCACGAGCAGTCGCAGCGTCTCCACAGTTGTCCATGCATTCACATCTTCAATCCCATAAGCTGTCCACCCCGCACGCACAGCCACTCCTACAGGGTCCCCCGTGCGTTCACCTCGCGTCAAGTCGAGGTATACTTTCCCCCGTGTAGATGGTGGCGAGGCTTGACCATTCGTTCGGTAGTGTCGCAACAGCGGCTGGACCAACAACGACTTCTCTGGAGGCAGCGCGGATACAATCACAAACGGCTGCTCAACCAGTTTCACGGACTGGATCGACGTGAATGGCTCTAATCCGTCTGCCAGCGGCCCGCTCGCCCGGAACCCCACCGTGTAGATCGCTCCAACACCCAAGCTGCGCAGTGCAAAGATGGCCGCTGATGCCTCGCTCTCAGTACCCGCAAGGATAATCGCCGCTCGGCCGCGATATGCCGACGGAACATAATCTCGGGTTAACGTTGCCCGGATCCCCTTCCATGTCGCATTCTCACCAACCAACTGAGCCTTCGGTGCAGCACTTTTTGCGGCCACAATCGTATCGACTAATCCAATTGCGCGGGCAGCGTCACTGACGGCTGGAATGCATGTGGTGCTGCTCGATATAGGCGGATGTACTGACGCTCCGCCAAAGGAGGGCTGGGTGATCACACGTTCGATGGAACCCATGGGTCCACGGTCGATCGAAGTCAGTGTGTGCGGCAGGCTCAGTTCGTTGAAACATTTTTCCATAAACATCGACTGCGGCGTTGAGCGGAATGATCCAATGGCGTACAGATCGCGCTTGGGTAGCTGCCCCATGATATGGAGCGCCTCGTTAATCTCCGCCGCCGTTAGTTGCCCCGGCGCTGCAATCATCGGCAATAACGGATGCGTGATGGGCGAGAACACAGTGTTGAGCGCTCGCGAGAGCTGACCCATCTGCCCCATGTTGACAGCCGACAGGAGGGGGTACGACCCATGGGCCCTTTTGATCGTCGACCGAAAATACTCGAGTTCGTAATTGGCCTCAACAGTATTGACCATAGCAATCATCTTCACAATATCCGCGTATTTGGCGCTTTCCGCGAAGATCCGCGGTGCATCGGGAGATGTCCATTTCCACGTTCCTGAGAAATCATGGAATGCTGACATGATGATGCTATTTCCTTTGACTTCCGCTAACTGTCTCCGGATATCCTCCGGAAGCCACAGCTCAACATCTATATACTCGACACCCCACTGGATTGCCCGGCGAAGGTACCTATAAAATAGTGCTGGATCATCCATGGGGAACTTACCATTCTCCTTGGTGCATCGCGTGGTGAAGATGATCGGCAGTTCTGTATGCTGCCGAAGCAACATCAACTGCTGGCCAACGTACCGCAGGCTGGGCACCCGGTTGGAGATGCCCACAGATGAGGGCTCAACCAATAGATCTACACGGATCTCGACTGCATCTGAACCTACCGACAAAATGTCAAGATTGGGTAATGCCGCATGGACGTCCGGAAAGGTCGTCGAGATAAAATTCGTGCGGCTTTTGGTCTTCAGGTCTTCATGTGGTCTGGTTTGGCCCAGAATCAAAGACAGAAACCGGGTCAGATCGCGGCGAAAGAAAGGACTCCGAAGGGAATACAGAAACTCATAGTCGCAGCGGTCGGTAAGTGATTCGTCTGGAAAGGAGCCATCATCCACACAGTGCGTGTTGATTAAGATGCCGGCAGGCTTCTCACACCCTTCCAAAGCACGACCCAGATGGTCAGCCAATATCCCGGTCACGACAGCATGACCGCCCCGCCCGAGTGTGGACAGAGAAGATTCCGTAGTCCATGGCTTGCCCAGGATCTCAGCGACAACTTGGACGATAGTGTCCTGATTGGGACCATATACAATGGCGACGGCACGAGAGGGCTCTGGGGGCAGGTTTGGGGTAAGAGAAGTGACAGCAAAGGAAGAAGTTCCTTTGATTGAGGTAATAGGGGAAGAGGTTTCAGGTAACAGTGTCATAGCCACGGGCTTATGAATGGCTGTCTGCATCATCTCATTGCATGGGCAGTACTCTGCACCTTCATACTGTATCCGGAAGATGCCGAATCTCTAGAGAAGAAGAAAGGAGATGAACAGCTAATCCCACCGTAGCGCCAAATCTGGTACTTCAATCAAAACAATAATAAAAGACAACCGACAGGACACTGAGATCGAGAACGAGACCCTCAAAGAAGCATTGACGTTCACACGTAGTCGAGAGGTACTTTAAACCCTAGCCAAACAATAGAAGGGAGAGTGGACTTTATCAGGGCAGATGGGATGGAGGGTCGACTGGAGATAAGCGACTAGTGTGCAATACCCGAGATGTCAATAGGCAAGGGTTAAAGCTACTAAATCGAATCACTGGCCCAACAAGTAGGAGCAATCGAGTTGGTTGAGGAATCTTGGACCGGGGCGCTATAAAAAAGGGTAAAAGGAGAGACCACAATCACATTTGCCAATACAACGTGAGGAAGACGATAGGACCAGGGTCGTGAAAGAATGAAGTTGGTAAGATGCTCTTCTTCCGACGGCTAAATTTCCCCGGAATTTCAGCTCCGCACTACGGGGAGCGGAGTCGATTTCTCCGCCAATCAGGCCAGTCTATTGCCCATGGCTGACAATCCATCTGTAACCTTAGGCAGCCTTTGTATGGACAGTACACAACCTCAGTACCTAGTATCAGAGGTAGCCATTATCCACTCGAGAAGTTTCTATGCCGGCGAAAATTTACTGTGGGCGGACTATTGTCCAGAGCCTGTAGATCACATCTCAGCAATTTCTAGCCTGTCTGGGAATTTCATATCATTTCTTGGTGTGACCCAAGCTTGCGACTTCTTCATCGCATACGGGGCAGATGCTACCAGAAGATCCAGCGATCCACAGCCTAAAGAGCTATGATACGAGGAAAAAGCCTCGCATGGTGTTATCTGTACCGCCTCTCGTTGGCCCGCCGATATCCACCAACATTATTTCCTGACCGAAGGATATTCTTGGGTGGTATCACGCATGGGCAAATGAGGTCCTATTTGTCCGCCAGCCACTCAAGAACGATAAGCTAAACAAGTTACATATTCTACTCATATATAGTATCATCTGTCTCTGTACTTGGTTTGTGTTGTCTCGGAAGCAGGCCATGATTAATTGAGTAGGGAAATATGAACAGGACGTGAGCCACCAATATGTCAAGAGAAATCAAATACATAAAACAATAGGATCAACCAATTGAAAGGGGTATTGAAAGCAACACAAGAAGTACCAAAACAAGGCAAGTTAGAATAGGCGGGAAAGCACGATCAGGTGCAGATCCTCCAAAGATTGCGAATATTAAGTGGCTGGATCAGCACAAAAGGTGTATGTGCGCATTGGCGTACACAGATGAATGTATGCAATGTATGTACCTCCACAACTCAAAACCGGAGTCAGTGGCATGCCATGGTCATGATAATTACGGAGATATGGTAGTGCGTAGGATATTTCGTATGTCCGATGCACCTCTTGCTCTCTTGAGATGCAAATGCAAGGATACCTTCGACTCATTGTTTTGTGTAGTAAAATCAGTCGCAACGCCCATTTTCTCAGGGTGCTGGTATGCGGCGGCAGTCATGTAGCGCGTGAGCCAAAGAAGCACACGCTACCAGTGCCCAAGGACGTCATAGACAAAGTTTTTAGTCCACAAAAGCAGATATTTGTGGGTGTGACTTTCATGGATTTCTGCAGCACATATCCACATGACGCTCCGTATTTGCACTTTGCGAGATGCGACTCGAGGATACGTGGCATGCATACAACACGGGATATGCCATATCCAATAGTAAATAGAGATATGCAATCCACCAGCCGTGTTTCACCTTTATGGGGGTGAGATGGCCAGCCCGTTCATGAGCTTAGGCAGTGGCTTTCTACGGGCATTGTTTGCCGTCTTCGATACCCGAGGGGCTCCGTGGATCATGCGGGGCTCTTTCATCAGGCTGTTATCGAGTTTTGCTGGTGCTGTAGAGTAGGTGTCAGTGTGGGAAAAGTGGTAGACTGCGTAACAGAGACGACGAACCTCTAGTGACGACACGGGTATAATCCCCAGAAAGACCTTGTTGCCCCCTGCTACCTGGACCAAAGGAACTAGCACTGGCAGTTACCCAAAGATGATTCGACGTATCCGAAAGGAAATCCGTCTGCATTCGGCTAGAGAAAAAAGAAGTCCGCCCACGATTACGTTTGGATAAGACGATCTCATCAAAAAGCGCCATTCTTGGGTCCTTGGACTTGGGATTGACTCTTTCTCTTTCACTGATGAATTCATTGAAGCCTGATAGGATGTTAGTGACAAGGACCCTCGAGACAGTAGGTTGTTTTCAAAAGTGATGGCTTACTTTGTGTTTGCTGCAGGACGGCAGCATATTCAGCATGCTCACCTGGCAAGCTCTTCAGGAATGCCTCCATGTTGAAGTTATAGGTCAGGCCCGCTTTCTTCTTATCACCAGAAGCAGGTTGTAAGAACTTCTTGTAGGTATAGAGCAAGCTAGCAAAACACCTTACAAATGCGGCGCGAATCTGTTCCGGATGGAACGCAGCGGGACACACCAGGCAGATCTGCAAGGCGCAACGGTTGTGAACAAGGGTCTTACAGGCGTTACACTTGTACATGGCTTCATCAGCCCTTTCATCACAGATTGCACAAATAGACTTGTCGTCGCATGGCAGCACTTGCAAGCAATGCCCCTCCACCCAACAGGTGCCTTCAGAGTTGTGAATTGGTTGCGAAGAAGGCTGTGGAACAATGGTGGACGCAGCAACAGTCGATTGGGCATAGACGGAGGGTGCGTAAGTTGACCCAGAATTATATTCCGTATTCAGTGTTGTCACAGATAAATTCGAGGTGTGGCCTAGGAAAGGAGCACTTGGCCGTCTGGGAACACCTCCTCTTAATTCCATACCGAACGACGAACTTCTTCGTGATGCAGCATCGAAATGACCTGAGCGCTTCTCGCGCAAGGATGCCTGAAGAGCCATCCCCGAATCAGTCCGCGAGGAAACCGGGAAATGACCTGATGTGGGAGAGGTGTCCCTAGGTGAAGGAGGCGATCCGGTCTTGGACGATCCAGTTCCCGGCCGGTCAGGACCCTTAGACGAATATCCCCTAGACGGAACCTGCTCGTAGCGAGCATGCAGGTAAGCATTGAATACGAGAGGCGCATACGTTCCCGGCATCGAGGCCTGGCCGAATGCGTTCGAGTTAAGGCTGACGTATTTCGCTAACTGAGTCGACTGCGCTTTGGAGTGGAAAATAGAGGAATTCTCCGACATAAACGCATCGAACGGGAACGTCTCCACTGCATATGCTGGCGGACCAGTTGGGACACCGCACCGACTGTGGTGGGGGGCGGCCAGTTGAAGTAGCGAATGCAGCTTTCTCCGCTGGTGACGCGGCAGGGGCGTTGGCCGAACTGTACTCTCAATGAGGTCTGCGTCGAGATCCACCAAGACGAAGTCATCCGATGGTAGCTCAACTTTCTCATATCTCCGCTCGATACCTACAATGTAAGGACAAGGAGCTTCGAGAGCTTGGATCAAACGTGCAGGCAAAACAGGAATGAGCACTCCAGTCCACTGGAATGGGAACAACAAATCAACCAGTGCCCTAGTAGCCAAGTAAAGCATCGAAGTATGGGACGACAAGAATATTATACGCGATTCGGTCAGTGCATACTCGAAAAGAATGATGATGTTCGGCAGCGACAAAGTTCGGAATAGTGCATAGAGATCAGTATTTCGGGAGCCTGGCAGTTCGTTGGTAGCTTCCTTTCGTGCAAACAGGCGCAACTCCCGGACCGAAAGCTCTACTTGGGTCTTGGACGAATTGGGGCTAAATGCCTCAGTGCATAGGTTCATCACATATCGTTCCAAGGGTTGCCACATCCCCATCCGCGGAGAGCTTGGAGGGATCCGCTGAATGCTTCCCTCAGTCATGGGCACAATTACTGCTTTCAGCCACTCTTTCCAGAAACTCGTCATGCTTTCTTCCCGCCCAAGAATACCGTAAGCGCGGGGGATCCAGAATCCCGTGTCGCCGTCAGTCAGACCTTCAATTTTCGATGCTGCACCGTGCCGGACTGGGCGTAAAAGGTCGGTCATTAAGCCGATTTTCTCTTCAACCGCACTGATCTCATCCTCCAGCTGCTCTCTTTGTTCCGACCCTGAAGGCACCGTGGGGAGTTGGGCTAGAAGTCTCGAGAGTTTGGCCCGTTCGCTCGCTAGCCTTTCACCGAGACTGGCCGCTAGCTCTCGCTCTTCGTCTGTCATATTGTCTTTTCGCCATTCCTCGCAGCGTTTTTCCAACTCCTCTGCAGCTCGCTGATTCAGCGGAATCCATATGATAAGACAAATGGCGTGCAGTCGTGAGCCATTGTCAGTTGTCATGACAAACCCGTGCCAGGTAGAGCGCGGTCTCTGATCTGAAGAAACAATATGGATATCGTTCGGAAAGGCAAACATCGGGACATAGTCTGGGAAGTTGCCCCGTTGCTTCAGCTCGTCAGACATTCCTTTGGTTGGGTACCGGTCGAGGAGAACGGGCTCAAAACGGCGTTTCAGGGGATGCATGGTAGGGGAGATCTCCAACGGTTGTGGTGCCGGAATAACTGAGTTGTAATTACTGAGTCGTCGCGAGGTCCGAATAGAAGCTGTTTGAAATTGTGGTTAGCAAACTCGATGCTCTCAGTTCCTGGAATGTCGCAAACTCACCTTGACGAGCAACTGACGGCTGCCGTTTCATACTGTTCATGTCTCTGAATGCCATATGACGCCGCACGCTACCAATACCTGATCTAAGCAAGCTAGATGGCTGGGAGGGGGTCTCTTCAGAGACAATCTTCTGTGTACGTAACCTGGACCTGGGGCGCGACGTGGGAGTGATAGCTCCGGCACTGAGACTCAGATCCGACAGGAACGACTCCCGCTCGTTCGCAAACTTGAACAGGGCCTTGTCAAAGTCAAAATCTTCTAGGAATGACGACCCTCTGGGCGATTGATTACCCTTGATGGTCAGACTGCTCCGGTTGCTGCTGGTGCCATTCCCGCTGGATTCACTGGAGTCTCCCGAGCGCATTGAGAAACGCTGGAAGGAATTGCGGCCTCCAGCCATGGAAGTGGGCCGAGAGAGGGAGTCCAAACGGGGGTCGTGTGCCTCCTCCGCGTCCGCATCTTCCTCGATAGTGTCCGCAAGAGCGGGGCCAGGGGAGGTGGCACTGTTTGCTCTGTATTCATCGCCCAGTCTTTGAAAAGTCTCTAAGATTTCTGTGCCATCAACACCGGCGATCCAGAAGTAGTCTGCAAGCGGGGTGGTAGACACCTCGGGGCCGGAGGAGGAGGATGAGGAGGAGAACGGCATCTCGTCGAATCGTCGGCAGTCAATCGCGGGGCTGTAATCATCAATCGTCTCAATTCGTGGACTTCGTTACAACATGAAGTGAATCCAACCCTTGATGCTACGAATTCTCCACCAGCATCAACGGGGGTGGTGTGTATGAAATTCAGCGATCAGAGGTTTCGGAATAGATAGATTGGTAACGACAGTAGGAACGAGAACACATAAGTCTAGAATCGCGACGCTGTCGCAAGGTCGGACAGGGTTGCTGAGGAAATTCCGAGATGACAGGAATGGATGAGAGAAGGGAGCAGAAATGAGGCTTTTGTGTTGCTGCGTAGGAAAATTTGTCTGGGGGTTGGATTTCTTAGTGCCACTTGCATTCACAAGAAAAAGGAGTAAATGATGGACGGGATTGGATGAGGGGGAAAGCAAGAAAAGAAAACGGAATTGGATATGACAATGGAATCTTGGAAAATAGGATTAAGGATAGGGCCTTTTTTTTAGATCTTGACTGCTCTTTTTCTTTCTTTCTTTTCCCGCTTTTTTTCTTTTTTCTTTTTTCTTTTTTTTTTTCGAGAAAAGAAAAAGAACGTCCGATGCAGTGACGGATGGTTGCGTAGACAAGAACTACTACGTACAGTAGTCAATTAGTAGAAGGGGGAAAAAGAGGAACGGCGCCAAAAAGTAGTCCGTCTCTTTCTCTTCCTCGCCCACTTTCTGTCTCCTCCGCTCCGCACACGCACAACCGACAAACCGTCAGTGCACCACAACTTTCGCTCTTGTGCCTGTCTCTTCCTCCCTGCCAGCTAACTATTACCATTACTATTACCACCTAAGATTTTTAGGGCCAACTGCCAGTAGCTGTAGGTACCCACTTCCGGATGCATGTTATACACAGCAAACACGGACACAAAAGGGTAAAAAAAATTAATAATAAACGTAATTAAAGTAAAATAATCGAATAAATTAGGCAAAATGAAAATGATAAGAACACAAATCAGAAAGGTTGGGACGGAGGCTATTTAATTTGATCCATGTTTTATTAGGGATTAATTAAATTATTTACATTCCATCATCGAACCTCTTCAACACGAAAAACCTCAGGGAGAGAGGGGGAAAAACCAAAAACCAAAAAAAAAGGAAAGGAAAGGAAAGAAAAACGAACAGAAAACAAAACAAAAAGAAAAAAAGAAAAGATTCCCAAAGGGCCAGGCAAGGGAAACAATAAACGTGCAGGTACATCTATCAGTTTAAGCCACTCGATAGGGATTCCTGGTCTCCATCCATGCAGGATGTATAGCCATCAATCTCCAATGAGGTTCAAACTACTGCAAGTGTCCCTCCAGACGCCTAAACTTTGATACATCGCCATCCCCATCCAACCACCAAACCCTCTCTCCCACTTTCAACCCGCACATACACACACCGCCAGCTCTGACTCTTTGATAATGACTGATTTCTTCAGATACCGCGGTCAAAAAAAAAATAAAAATAAAAATAAAAATAAAAAATTAATAGCAACTAAAGAAAATTTCCCCGACGTCAGGGTGTAATACCCAGACTAGTCGTATAATTTTAGGAAATCCAGGGGACAAGAGAAATATCAATCCTTGGGACCGGTGGAGCCTAGACGTGCACAATTGCTTGGCCTGCCATGGTTCGATTTCCCATTTGTTCCTGCTGACTAGGTTGCTGCGAAAGAACTCCCGTTCAAGAGAACCATGGAAACACTGCATTACGATTCCCTGCTGTGTATGTCCCTTGTACTAAAGGACCGGATGTGTTCCTGTACCTCCCGTCCCCCCGAAAACTCTCAGGAGGATGGTGGAACTCGTCCCGAATTCAATGTCAAATGGACTCTACTTTGATGGAGGGCCGAAAATAACAATGAACCACAATAGGTCGCTTAACTTTTTTTATACTAATGCCAATACTGACACTAAGATAGACACCGCTCTTAGGGCTTTTTATGTCTTGGATCGCCCTGGATATTTTCCCGATTGGACTGCCTTTCAACTCCTCCGTGATTGGAACTATACTCCAGGAGTAAGGTGGTATTTCCACCCCGAGGCTCTCTTTACACTAACTACGTAGCCTCTTTCTGAAGAGGGGCCGTTGCTATAAACAAGTCCATCCGCCCTAGCCTACCGAAACTGAGAATTTAGCATAGCGGAGTCTCCATGGTCTGGAGATGGCTTGCCTCTCACCATGATTGGCCAGAATTCCCCTTGAGGAGAGTCTTTCACGGAACCAAATGGTAGACAGGAACTGGGGACTCCATCGTCAACCCTCCAATGGAGTTCCCGAAGGAGGGCATCTATGTAGGGGCGGGTTCGGCCGAGGTAGAAAGCTAATCATGGTACTGTATCGTGTCTGTACATACAGTACGTTGTCCACTGAAGGTAGGAAAAGGATCAGGAGGACATAAACTTGGTGATATCACCCATAGTCAGGGTGCTATTATTATCTTCTCAGTATCTGACCACCCAAATTGTGGATTATTATTATTCATGATCATAACATTTTTACAAACTGGAAGTCTTGGCTGGTAAACAATGATCACTATCAGGGTCCCAGTGAGAAAAAGGAGGTGGTGGTGTAGATTCCAGATATGGATAGAGCTGTGGTGTGATCGTTGCTCAGCTTACAGAGTACACTGTGCAGAGCCCTCTATTATCTGCATCGATGTTGCCAATAATGCTTATAGTACGGAGTACGGAGTAGTTGGGAACGTTTGATCCAGGGCTATGCCGATCGCCAGTGGATCTCAATGATACTTCGGGAGAGCCATCCAATTTTCATCTATGGACAGGGAATGGATGATCGGAGAGAAATCCGAACAAAGAAAGGAATGGTTCACCAGGTATAATTGACAGTTCACTGCATTAAGAGTCAGGGATCAAGATAATCAAAGAGCATGGAATCTTCCAGTCACTGAGGCAGCATGCAACAAAGAGTTTCTCTTTCCGAATTGAACCGTCCATGCCTGTACAGAAGGAGATAAACATTCCTGTTGATGAACCATGAGATGTACTTTAGACGGTTTCATCATGACTCATAGCGTATTAAGTACCATGTAGATCTAACTCAAGAGGGATCTCCCTGCGCAAACTTGGGAATGACCATCTACCCAGAATTCAACCAGAAAAGGTCTTTGGCCATGAGAATCCACAGACGGTGGGACAGATCTTCAGTTACAGGACTGTGTTCCTTACATGACGCTACTCCCATACCGGCCTGGTCGACCTGCATTGGCATGCATCATACTCCGTACATGGTCATCGACATCTTTGGTACGTCCGCTGAGGAAGAGCGGGCTCATTGTGAACCGCCGCTGGTAAGAGGCCTAGTCTTGTCGCGCGACTAGTGCCCCGCTAGGATGGGCTACTTGCTGTCATACAGAAAGTGCCTTGCAGCCTTCACTCCATACAGGCAAGTCGGGTGGACTTTTGGCTCCGTTGGCTGGTTATGCGCGGTGGAAACGTGCACCACTGACAGATGAAAAAGGGGGTGGTTGGTGCCTGAGGCGGGTATCTCGTCTCCTGTTTTGGGGAAGCGGTATTGTTGAATTGCGCATAAATACCGTACTGTATGGTATGTCTTGCTACGACTATCTCCATGCCTCTTGGTGGAAGCATTAGGGTTTTCCCAGAAATTGCTCGAGCCATAGATATCCAGGAATAGCTTCCTCCTGAACCATGCCACCGTTCACTTCCCAAGGCCATCGGCTTCGGGTGGGATTTAATAACCACGGTACTGACGATACGATCCGTACATCCTGACACCTTTTTATAGAAAATTGAAAATGCAAAAATATCCGGCAAGGGGTTCTAGACTGCTGACAGAGACAAAATACCGGTTTCATGATGGATGTTGCGGTCAAAAAGAGACCAATGAGCGTCTGCAAAGGTGGTTGTCTCTCGGCTTCTAGACGTTGTCTGAGTTTATCGTCAGATACCTAACTTTCCCATCGTCCAAAGTTCTAGCAAGGCTTAGTCAACCCCACGTCACAGGGCCTCGACAATCCATCCCATCATATCAGAGATAAGTACAGAGTAGGTACACGCATCGGATATCTAAATTTGGACAAAGCTGGCGATTTCCCTTGCCATCAAACTGCGCCGTACTTTTGGCTGCTCACGACTAAGCCAACTAGTTCCAGCCTCCTGTTCGTGCGTGTAACTTAACTACCGCAAAGGAATTCAAATGTGGCTGCGCCTACTCCGTAGATCGGTTGCATCTGTGGCACATCTGGAGCTTGGCTATTCGCCCTGGAACAATCCAAAGCTTATCTCGCTAATTGGTCATCTACCCATGTTTCGAGCAAACTTTCCTGAAGATTGACGATTCCCTAGAATGCGCGTGGGGGTTACACCGAAGGATAACCAGATTAAGCTTCGTAAATATTATGACCGTCTTCGCGTCAATAAGTTTCCAGTCGTCAAGAACCCTTTATCCCCCATAGTTCCCCTCCACTCGATGGACAATTGCCCTAGAACTGCCCGTCCGTCATGTTTTAGATCTTTCTGTAGGGCATCTAGCCCTTCCTGCTGTCCTTCTTCTTGCTCAACGAGGAACGCAACCTGGAGGACGTCACGTGGGTTTAATGTCGGTGGTTGTGAATCGCACTGATCCGGCCTCTCAAGATCCCAGTTCAAGGAGGTTGCCTTGAACGGAGGTTTAGGATTCAGTTTTGTTTGCTATCGAAAGCATTAGAGTCCCCGGCATCAAAATAAAAGGAAAGCTTTTTATTTTTTTTTTACCTTCACCACCACGGCTCCATCACCCACATTCTCTAACTGCGCTTCGAGGGCAAATCGGAGCAGCCGAGTCTTTCCATAAGGCCCTAGGGACTTGTTTTCGACCTCTAATGGGGCTAATTCGGATGATTTTGTCCGAACACTAAGACAAGGCTGTGCAACAAACTGATAAAGTTTGCGAAAAGTTCTCACTCGCCCACTGGCCGCTTGCGAGTCTGATCCAATCAGCGTTTCCGTGTAGCTGACACTGACCGCCAAGATATGATTCCCTTCTTCCTTGAGATCAAATCGTACGATCTTCTGTAATGATTGCCCTTTTTGTAGGCCATCTCTCGCGGGTGTGTCATCTGCTGGCTCTAGCTCCAGAGATGCTACTTGGGATGGAGTTTGCATCTCCGCCACGATACGGACTGATGTGACAACGCGCGAGGTCTCATCTTCTGCGAGCTCATTGTTCGCACTAAGAGTGCAAGCAAATGTTTCTCCAACATAAGCAGACCCAAATGCAGGAGGTAATGTAAGCTTTGGTTCTTGTTAGCAGATACTCGTAATTCTCTCGTCGAAGCGAGAAACTTCTCATTGCTGTCGTACATTAGGGGCGAGAATAAACTGTTTGTCCACACTATCGGAAGGATAACTCAAAGATGCTTTGTTGGAGATCTTCGTGTTTGCTTCCGGAAGGGGGTACTGGTAGGACAGAGAAGGCCGCGATAGGCTTTTAAAGTCAGATCGGCAGTTAACATCTACAGGAACGCATATTGCTTACCGCAAAACTACGCATATGTCAGTTAGGGTGCTGCCTATGATGGCTACCAGCAGTGCGTACCTTTTAAGGAGACTGAATGAGGCTCTTTGGAGGCCTCGGCACCTGAATGGGCGCGTGGACGTGCCATTGGCATAAGATGGTGAACTAGCTATGATTATGCAGCTGACGGGAGTATTTCAGTGTTGTCAAAAGTATTGAATGTTGTCCCTCTATCGTTATCAGCATGACATGTGACGGACAAACGTGGCAAACATGGCAAACACCACAAACCTCCGCATATGATCTGTGGATCAGTGAAGGAAGCGATAAGAAATGAAAATTGCTTTTCTGATTTTAACCTTCCTTTTATACCCTTGAATTGCCCTCTACTTTATTTCTCTATCTTGTAAGTGACGTGTCCGTATCAGTACTACAAGAAGCGCATCCAGAGCGTCAATTACTTTGTTTGTATACCGTGGGAATATGTCAGCCTCCTGAACGGAAAAGCTTATCGCTATCGCTATCGCGATTGCTGCAGGACCTCCACAGCGACAACTCGTTTGTGCCAACAATAGTCGACACTCGGATCTATCGTCTTTAGTACTGTGCATAGCCTAGTTATTCAAACAGAATGGGTACTGCGAGGACATCATCCTCCAGACAACAGATCACTACTGCCCCATCACCTGCAGATCATACTCGAATTCCATACACATCTGCGTCGAAACGAAAGCGAAACGCCGACGAAAAGGCCAGTGTCGCATCCACATCTGCGAAACGTAATCGTAGAAATGGGGGCGATCATCCAGCGATTCCTACGGACCCGAAGGATGTGATCGATTTGACTAGCGACTCGCCTGTTGCTAGTCCACAAAAGAGGACCTCAAGTGCAAAGATGAAGCAATCACCAGGCGAGGGGATACCTGAACGTCGGGCTCGAGTCTTTCGCCGTAAGCCACCACAAACGTTCTTACAGCGATTGAACCGTGCAACAACTCAGAGGTGTGCCATCAACCCAGATCATATCTCGATTATTTCGCTCACAGTTGATGATGTTTTTTTTTTTTTTTTTCTTCTAGGATGTTCGTCCTAGGACATATTGTCACGGGCGCTGATGATATTCCTGAGATGAGCTTTGACATTGCTGGGACAACTGGAAACATCTACAAGACAGTTATCGGGAAGGAGCCGACCTGCACCTGTCCGGATGCTCGAAAAGGAAATCAATGCAAGCATATTTGTTACGGTAAGTCGAATTTAGGTGCTATCACTATTCCTAATACTACTATTGTTTCAATTATATCATTATTGTCGTTCGTATGGTTTCTGATAGCCGTACCCGCGAAGTCCTAGTCAATGTCCTCAAAGCTCCGCAACATCTACAGTATCAGTTGGCATTCTTATCTATGGTAAGCTGTTTTGCGTACATCTCCGTACACTTCATAAACTAACACTGCTTCTTCAGGAGCTTCGTGAGATCTATGAAGGATCATTTCTGAGTCGTGAGCAGACCAAAGTTGACGATGACAACGGTGGTAATAGGAAGGCCGTTGAAGGAGATTGTCCAATCTGCTTCATGGAGTTTGAACCTGACAGAGAGGAGATCGTCTGGTGTCGAGCGGCCTGCGGAAATAATATCCACAAAACATGCTTCCAACAATGGGCTGTCTTACAGAAATCTCAAGGTGTCCGCTGCGTTTTTTGGTACGTTGCACATTCCTTGTTTATCAGATTGGGACTAAGACATCATCAGCCGTTCCCCATGGGAAGCAGATACCAGCGACGTGAATCTGGAGCAGCTCAGAGCCCAGGGGCAAACAACTGCAGAAGGATACATCAATGTGGCTAGTCAGCTAGGCCTTTCCGGTCAACGCGGTACGAGATCATCTTTGTAGTCACCCTGATCATCCCTTGTGCCTTGTTCCAGACACATACTGACACTCCATCCCCTAGACTATTCGACATATCATCCTTTCTGGGTCTCCCAACAATTGTATCCTTATGGTTCGCGTAGACGCAGACGTTAAAACATTGACGGAGATGGGGTCGTGGAGTACTAGCCATCCGATGCATAGCCCACTAGGGTTTTGCAGCAGCTGTGGTGTCCAGTGAGAAGTTTGTTACCTATTGGAAGTTGTGTGGGCGTTTGAAATTTATTGCTTTTCAGGACTGGCTAGATACCCAGAAGTTATTGTTAACCAAGAATGTTATTGGAAAATACTATGCAATTTGACAACACACATGTTTTGTTGGTTTGGAGAATCCTTAGCCATATGGCGCGAGTACTAGGCAGCCGCTCTCAAACTCACAGCCCTTTCGCCGACTATTCACCCGTTCACTTTCAAAGATAAGTCTCCACCGTATTACCTTCTTCACACCATGGCGGTGTTCGAAGTCTCGTCGTACGCGGTGAGATCCAACCCCTTGTCGAGTGGATGCACATAAACAAGGACGAAAGGTGACCCTTTCGCGGATCGCAGGCTGCATGATCTGGGCCGCGCACGGTCACTTGAACGCCTTTCTATACCGTTCAAGGCGACTCCCGCCGGAATGGATGCGTGAACCCCAGCTTGTCGCGTCATGCCACGGGGAACGTGAAAGTATGCATTAGGTCGATGGCCACCCCATTTCATCCACTATCCTTAACCACACGATGCCCTTGACGAATAACGGCAACGCTGACAGCCTCTTCACCCGTCATCCAGGAAGGCATTCTCTCTGGGTCAACGACACCCAGTTCGGCGAGCTTTCTAACCCCACTGATAACATCCGAGCCGGCAAACGTAAGCGAGAGGGACGGCTGCGTGTGATCGGCATCGCTATCCTCCTCATCCCCATCTCCATACAGGCGGTCCAGAAGCCTAACGTCAAGACGGTCCAGAGGTGCAGATGACAGAGACCCAGAAGTGCCGAAGCGCGAGTGGATGGCCAGCTTGCGCTTTTTCGGGATGTGAGTGTCCTCTTCTGCGTTGCGAGTTTTTCTTCCGGGTTGGTGTGTTTCGTTTTCTTTCTGGTCTTCTGGGGGCTGGTTCTTGATTTTGTCGGGTTTGGTTTGGTTCAGGAGTTCCTCCGGGGAAACAGTATTCGTTGGTCGTGGGTCCAGCGGGCTCCCCTCTACCACGGCATCGGCGAATATGCTGAACGCGCCATTCGCTCCGTTCGAGCGACCTGGTCCTCGAAGTGCTAACAATGCTTGTAGACTCTTCGCTGTCAGTGATGTCGCTTTAAGGGCGTATCTTCGCTGAGGGAGAGATAGCGCTTTCGGGACGGCGTCGCGCACGATGCGCTGTAAACTTCGGGCATCTGTCGCGACCGCATTGGCGGGAGAGGCTTTGGAGCTTGTAGAAGACGCAATGGACGTGTAAACGAAGGGGCAGCTATCGGGAAAGGCAACATATATCACTCTTGACGAGTCCGTAAGTGTCTCAGGTGGCTGGCGAGGATGCTGATAGGGCGAACTGGTCACGAATATACGGAGGAAAGTGAGAGGCAAAGTATTCGAGCGAGCGAGGTAGTAATGCGCCTTCACCAGGGGAGAGATTTGCTGCTGAACATTACTAAGGAAGGTGGAGGCATGGACACGCGGAATATAGGAGGAAACGTCGGTTTCGGGTGATTGCGCGCCATCCGCATCAATGCGAGTGAGCTCCAGCGCCGTCCATCGCAAACTTGACGGGTGGTCGTCCATGTAGCGAAGATCAATCATTGCGAGCTGGCGCAAGGTGATACCATGTTTCCAGTCGCCCTCGAGTATGCGATCGATCACCTCTCGTTTCCCACCCTTGCGCACCTGTAGCTCCTGGTATGCATTGCGCACGTCGTCGATGGTCCGCTCGGCCGGGTACGGACCGAGTTCTTCGTCGTCCGCTGCTTCGGCTTCATCTCGTGCCAGGAATGGCGAGAAGGACTGCACATTGCGATCGTCCAGCCAGTAGAACACGAGGTCCAGCAATGCCTGCCGGGTGAGCTTCCCGAATGACTTCACCAGCGATGGCGTTGTTGAGGGGATGCGGAGGTTGCTGGGAAGACTCGCGGTTGTGGGCGCGCGGACTGTCTTTGGACGCGCCATTGGTTCGGTCGCCGCTTCGTGTGGCGTCTATATATGCACCGAGCTCTTGCGCATTATCCCGCCAGGGGTATAGGTGTGGTGAAGATGGACTGTGGAGTTGTTCCACCGTTCAACAACTTCATTTGCACGGGCCATCAACAGACGCAGTCACGTGATGATAAGAGCACGATCAGTCGTGATAAGATGCAGATGTATTGTTTCAGCTACATCGGCAATGCCAAAGGTGATTGATATTCGACATAAGAATGCATAATTTGTATGACATATCTGCGTAGGCTCAAGCTGACATATGTCGCTCGGTACTAGAAATCTTGAGTGCTGCTTTGCTCCGTGATATTACGCTTGATCGTGGTTTACCTCTGCATCTTATCATACTGGATTCAAAGGCAATACACAGCTTTTAGCCAAAAAAACATACGATAGTTTGTTTCAAGTATGCATAGCAAGGCTATGACTTTAGAACTGAGCTTTCAATTGAAGGTTTCACCAAGGCCCTCTGAATGACGTGGTAGATTCCTTGCAAGGCCGTTTCAGAGTTTCTGCTGAACCCCACATGGTAATCTATAGGATTAGCCGTGCGCATTATCGAGAAACTCTATAGCTTCCCTAGAAACAATAGGTACCTCCTTTCTATTTTTTTGCCTTACTTTTGGGGTTCTGATAGAAGCTTGCCCTGGGATCTAGAGGTACGGGGCATTCCAGACGTCAGACAAGGGTTTAAAGAGTCCTCCTACCGAAAGCGACACCGCAGATGGAAATCTGTTTGTTTAACTTCAGCAGTCGATTTCTGCATCGGACGCGGTTACAAGTGTTATGAAATGGTCTATGGCGGATGATGTAGATATGATTAAAGCTTTGCAGCCGTGTAGATTGCACAAAGTCGTCTATTGTAGAATGTTGAAATACCTATAGGCTGGGATATAAAACGTGAGAAGCCAAACAACAAACAATCCATCTTTTTGTTTTCCACGTTGGAGTGGAGTCTGTACCATCAAGGAACGTTGAAAAATCATCACTCATGCCTCCCACCAACCTCCGAGACGCCTTCCCCGGTCTCCTAATGCTCCAAATTAAGTATGAACAAGAAGTAAAAACCCGAACATAAACACAATGACATAACGCCATTCAATCAACATAATTTTACTTGGATTCCACTCAAGCAGTGCCCACACCGATCCTTGACTCAGCACTACTCCGTTGGCCTTCAGCCTTTTGCGAAGCAAGGAACTTCTTGAACATGTCCGCGATGTCATTTTCTGACTTTTTGCCTTCCTCAGATGATTGCCCATTCTTCTCCGTGATCAAGTTCTTCAACCACTGGTTCTCAAGCTCCAAGGCAGTGACACGGGCTTCGAGCGCAGTATTCTTCTCTGTCGTCTCCTTGACCGTTTTCTCAAGCGCCTGCTCACGCATCTTCTTCTTCACACGGAACCGCGCACTGGCAGCAGTGTTACGCCGACGCTTATCCTCCTCTGCCGCAACCCGTGCTGCCTCCTCCACACTTATAGCAGCCGACTTCTGGGTGTTCTTACGCTTCGGTCCGGGGGCGGAAGAAGAGGTAGCGGAAGCGGGAGCGGGGCCGGGCGTCTGTGATTGGCCTGCAGGCGACGGCGATGAAGTCGAGATAGACTCGTTCGGGCTGGAGGCAGCATTAAGGGGCCCGTTGGGCATCTGTGGGACAGTCGAGAACGGCGCATTTTGCAGAGATGGAGGTTGAGACTGAGCATTGACGGAGTTGAAGCCGGTAGCTGAGTACTCGGGCATGTTGTTAAAGCCTTGAAGGAGAATTAGAACATCATCACTATCAAATCAAGCTAGCTATTGCAAGACCGAGCTGGTGGTAAGGTGGATGATCTCGTGAGCCCAATGCGACCGCAGAGGTCATGTCACGTGAAATGACGCCATAGCGTAACGGGTTCACGCTATCAGGACCCTTGCCAGTGGCACAGGATTTTTTTAAATTGATCATCGCTTAACAGGGATTGAATGCAGGCATGATCCAATGAGGACACGTGCAGATGGTGAGTGGCTTGGAGGATGCATCTATGCCTCGAGGATCCGAGACAGGTATTGTGCAAACGTATGGGACCATGGACCCCATGACGATACCACGGAATAAAGGATGCACATGGAGAAAGCAGGAAACGTGCGACAGAAACAACAGAGGCTCTTGATGTATGAGAAATCAATCCGGTGTAAAGGGTGTAAAGGAAAAAGGCCCGGAGAAGCTCCAACAAGATGCGACCGACGGTTCCTCCAGCTCGGGTCCAGAAACAATAGCGACAGTATAATCTATAAAGGAATTTCCAACTTACCACCGAGAAGATCCAAGAATTCCATATCTGGGTTCTGGCCAGTGGCTTGGTTGTTTTCCTTCTTCAAGTTGTCGCTCTCCACCGAGTCAAACCCGGGGAGGTTCAAATCCCCGAAGTTATCAAAATCAAAGAACTCGGCATTGGTGAAGAGGGAGAGGTCTGCATCGAGGTTGTATGAGCCTTGCTGCTGCTGAACAGCCTGGTCGTATGGCGACGGGATGGCGTTCAAATCGTCGAGGTATTGGGAGAAGTTGGGGGCCCTGCGGCCATTGTATTCGGCCATGGTGTACCGTTGAGGCTTCTGAGACCTCTGTGTTCAATATTCCTTTCCGTTTTCTTCTTTTCTTGTGTTTTTGTGTTCCTATAGTCCGCTGGGGAGACTCGAGGCTGATTGAGGGAAAATGACTCGACCGATATATGATTCTGGAGCGATAATTCTCTCTTTCGGTGATGGCCGCCTTAACCGCGTACAAGTCGAGAGGGGTCGATTGGCAATTGCGAAGTAAAATGACGGAGGAATAAGAAGTAAGTATGTATGGCTAGTCACAGAAAGGCAGGGGGAGGAAAGAGAGGGGAAACAAGAAACGATCGAATGACTGTGGGAACGTGGGACCGGAGAGGGCCACCGGGAATGGAATTTGTTCGGGTGGGGGTGCGAAAAACTGGCTGATTAAGCCTGGGGGGGGG